GCTTTTGTAGTTTACTCCCTTGATCACGGCAGCAACCTGGCCCCATTGTTTACATGTCTTTAGGTAGCACTCCACACTAAATTTCAAGTTTCTGCCGTCAATGTCCTACAAGCAGTATGTCTGATAAATCTGATCCCAAACTACACAACCTGGGAAAAGAAAACACATTTTGTTAAGAACATATATGTCATAACATTGCAAATCTGTAATGAAATCATCCCATGTGCAACAGTCAGGCAGTTAAAAAAATTCCAATTCATTCCGTAAAAGCCAAAAATCTATAGTGGTCCGAGACCCAAAACAACATTTTTCGTCCCTCCAGCAAAAAATACCTGCAAATATACGGTCTACAGAAACTCTGTCACTGCTTTAGCAACTCCCTATGCATGCAAAATATCACAAAGAAATAGGTGCTTGGCCTTGTAGATTTTTTGCTATTGCTGAAAGTGTGTACCCCCCTGTAAAATTACTTGTTTTCACCGAGCATGCTGTTTAAAAGCAATGTTTACAAGGTCAGGGTATCGTATTGTAACACCGCCAGCGATTGGCTGAAAAAAAGTGCAGGGAAAACCGTATGATTCAGTTTATACATGAGGCGATTGGATGAAAGTGGGGTATTTTTAAGTATAAAAACTAATTTAAAAAGTAACACTACAATGTTTTCTGAAGAAAATGAAATATTTTATGAGTCTCTGTGATAATTTTGACTTGGATATTTGCATTTATAAAAAGTGTATGTCAGTCCTGTGATCAGCAGAAAATTTCAATGAAATGGGGGGTAATCCTCTTTGAAGTCATTTTGCAAAAAATTTGGTCGGCTACCCCTATATAACAGGAACATTTTTATGTGTCAGGCATTTCATTCTGCTAGAAAAAATACCTCTTTAGCATGAAAACTGAATTTTAAGGTAGGATAAGGGACCATTTCTTATAATGTAAGTCTATGGAAATATCAATGTGAGTGTCTGACCACAAACAATGGCGACCTTGACATCAATAATTATCAGCATGTGATTTCTAACCATGTTCTCGAATTTGCCAATGATCATATTACATGTCACAAAAACAAATTTCATGCTGAAAATGCATTTTAAAGACAACCAGTCATTTAAATCCACAATAGTCACTATATCCATGAAATCCTGCTGCCTTATAAGTAGTTGAACACGCTTAGGTCTTTTAGTTCAACATTTTAATGAAAATATTTATAACCTTAGGTAATAAAGGAAATAAATTACTGTACAGCCTCGTTTGACTAATATCATTCTTACACTTGCGGGCCAATGATTCTCAATAAAATGATATAAACGTAGTACTACGTTGATTAGTAAGTAAATTCATGGTCAATTGTATAAAAGTACAATTGTTGCGGCAATGTCAAGCACGGACTCAAAGGCGCTCATGATGGATATCTTGCCATATAATAACTAATCAATTCTTATAATTCTTATAGTTACGTATTGTTTACTTGTTTATAAAGATTATTACACTACTTGATTAAAGGGACTCCACTGAGGTTTTTTGACATGATGGGACTGAAAATATTTTTTTCCAGATAAATGTACCATTTGATGAAGGTTTAGATCACTAATCTTTGTACAAAATTTGTGATCATTCGCGCACTTTGTTTTTCCAGAATAATTATTCAAATTGTAAAAGACGACCCCCTTATGAAAAGCGTCTAATGCTTTTCACTCAATCGCGCTAAGAAAAGCATAAAATACGATTTTCAATTTATTTCAAAGTATATTTCTAAATTATCTTTGCAGATATTTCTGTTTTAAGTGCCGCAGCTCAGTTATTTAAGAATTTCAAATGTTATGTTTTAGGCTTTTAAACCTCAGTGGAGTTTCTTTAATATGTGCCTGCAATTTAGGTATAGAACAACTAAATGTAATAAAATCTAGGTGGTCACAGAATCCCTGCAAATATTTGTGATACATTTTTAAACAAACTTACTTTCTCACCCAGTTAATTCGTTTTATAACTAAATGTTAATTATTTTCATGAATAAACTAACGTTTTGCCTGTTTTGCGAAAAATATTTCCGTTGCGCCCGTAGCGCATAAAAAACATCACCGTTGCGTATTTACGTCATACCTCGAATTTGGTTCCCGCCCTTAGAAGATAGACTGGCTAATTGACACGTTATTTATTAGGTAAATAAAATTATATAATGATAACAAGATTATGATATTCGAACATGGCACTTTCACTTCAGTTAAACGTTTATTTTAATTTCTGAAAGCTTGTCAGAAAAGCTATTCTTATTAGAAAATTTGAAAACAGTGTGATTTTGAAAACAAAAACAAAAAGTAACAAAAAATACACAAAAGAAACTAAAACTGTCCCCGTTGCTGAGTAGACGAATGTACATCTACTAGACGCGGCGTGTACGCGGCGTGTAATATTTTTAAGCTATGTTTTAGGTCTGCATTATCTAAGTGACAACCCAGGGTGACACCAGTCCGTATCCAAAGGTCTTGATTTATGTCACTCTTGTGGTGGTCAACTAAGCAATGCTACATGCCTAATATCTAAGCTCTAGGAATATTAGTTCCACACAATTAAACATTAATATGCTATCCTGTATAAGTCAATATCAACTAAGTGACCTCCCCCACCCCGAGCACGACAATTATTAATGACAGGGACATGACTAATATCTGTTTTGTGGAGGTCCACGCGACATTGCTACATACCAAATATCTAAGCTCTGGTTTTGTAGTTTCACAGAATAAGAATAAAATGTGTTAACCGGTATAAGGGCTATATAAAGTCTATATAAATCAAATGACCACAGGTGCGGGGCCAATATTGACCCAAGGGCATGATTACGTATTATCACTTTCTCAGAGGTCCTTAAGACAATGCTTCATGCCCAATATTTAAACTCTTGACATCGAAGTTTCACAAAATAAGACTTAATTAAATGTGTTTATCTATACAAGGCCTATATATTTCAAGTTAATTTTTTTTTCAATTTTGATCTGTTTTCTAAGGTCTATGAAAGCTCGTTATTTTGTACGATACTGTACGTCTCACATAATTTGTCATTACGACATCCGTTTTCTCATCGGCAACACAGCCAAGGGAAAATTACATTAGTCTTTAATTTATGAAAGTATTGTGTAATTCATTGGCGATCAAGTTTACAAGAATAACCGTCCTTAGCTAGCGGGAACCTGAAAGCTTTTCTTCAGTCGCCAGGAATCAGGATCGTGTAAAAATCTATGAAGTAAAGCGGTTACAAGTGATTTTTTTTTAAATACAACGCGAGGAATATTGTCAATGCAATATGTAGATTTATATTTGGTTGCCATAACTACACTTGCGTGTTCCTCAGTGGTTATGTCTCCATTAATTGTTTCATTTGAAGTATAAAGTGGGTCATCGATATTCATTTCTAATATAATTGTTTATTGTTTGTGTATTAATGCCCTGTGAAAGGATTCGTCGCTAAATCCATTATTGTTTACCAAAATTACAAAGGTTTTCAAAATCGCACCTCAATCGTCCGTGTACATCCGTCTGGTTTCGTAAGCCGTTACCATCACTGTCAACCACTTCCTCTGGTATCACAGGACCCTGACAGGAATTCATTTAAATAATGTCCCGGAATTCATTTAAATTATGCGTTGTCGTTGTTTCAATTTGCTCTGTTATCAAGCGTCATATTCACGTTCGCATTGACGTACGAGTACATGTACTTGCATGTAAATATTGCATACGTTGAACGTTACGGATTATACATGTATGTAAACTTTATCAAATTTATGACTTTTGTCATAAACAACTTTCTTTTCACAACTTATTAATTCAACAGGTTAGATATACATGTTTATCAATTAACTTAGTTAAACCGTCACTAACGAGATAAATTGATATAACCAAAGGTCAACTTAATTCAAAACTCACAAGAATTAATCGATTTAACAAATGTATTTTTGAAATACGCTACATGGATATTTCAGCAAGAATCCAAACTGGTTTACATCGTAGACGTACACAGAAAAGATGACTTATTTATTTCACATATATATACTAAAACATAATAACAAGGTCAGACAAACATATATACGTGTACAAAACATAAAAAACCGCATGTAAATCGATTGATATACATTTTGACATATATATATATATATTCATATACACAAATAATAGTATGCATAATTATACACGGTCATTAAGGCTTGCGCAACTATCAAGGTATTTTTTGGTGGAAAGTGTCTTGATGGAATATTCTATCTATAATGTCATCAATTTTGACAGCATGCTCCTGGTTGACTTCTCCTCAATTTTGATTCTTTTGACGAGTTAATTTAATTATATCAGAAATGGTTTTTGTGCTTTGTCTTAATTAAGATGCTGTCTGTTTAGCGAATTGATATGTATACATGTATACATTTTTTGGTAATATAAATAATCATTTTTCCTCTATACAGCTTAAATGTTATGAATGGCATATATAAAAAAATACAATTAAGGTAATTCTGTCAAGTCTTTTAATATCAGCGCAAAAGGAATATATGCTTTACATTATGAGATTTTTTTCAATCAATTCCCAAGTGCTATCTTTTTACGCTTCCTATTTTATACTTATAATTGCATGGCTAAATGATAAAAATAATCTGTTCAATATTAAACTGCTTAAATATATGACATGTTTATGATGACATTGATATCAAAAGATAAAAAAAATGAAATAGCAATATATCAAATTTGAAATTATGCCATGATGCATGGTCTACAACGTCTTGAGTCACGTCCGCCCTGTCCCAAAATATTGTCCGCCTCGTCCAAACATAGGGATTCGCCATCATCCGCCCTGTCCTTGGTTTAACCCCTTTATAGTGCCATATAACAAATAAAAAGAAAAGACCATATAGTCGAAATGAACGTCATGTCACCTTAATTGATGTAGAGAACAGCACATTAAAAACCGTCCTTTCACAAAAAAATCTCCGTTACGTATATTAGTCGTACCCTGTGATGACAGTTTTCACAGTTTTTTAATATTACGCTTCACCAATGAAAAAAATGTCAAAGTAAATAAACAAGTTATTTACAAATTTTAACGGAAAGAGATTTCAGAAATTGAATATTGTAAGTATAAGTGGTCAATTATCACGTTAAATAAACTTGCCTCACAATAAATCACACAAGATAAACGCTGTACTTTCAGCAAATTATGTAAAATAAACTGTATTTCGGACGGCAAATATTCGGATATAATTACATTTTTTCACATTTTTCATTAAGATTGACAGAGAGTACTCGTTAAAACACAGATTTGTGCTTATTTTTTCACACGTTGTATGACAAAACAATTGGAAGCAAAGCTGGCAAAATCTAATTTTGATTTACTTGTATCCTATTTTTTTTTTACTTAGACAACCCCCTATCACAGGTGTTCAGCGAGTTGATTGGTCATTTTATCAAATAAAGATATATATATATATATATATATATATAGTATACTTGTTAAAAGTATGCAACCCTCCCCTGATTCTTTAGCACTTCTCTGAATGTGAACTCCATCATTTTTCTACCAAAATCTTGGTACCAAATGGTAGGAAATTGAATTATTGAGTATTCTTAAAAGACACACAGCTGTCATGTTCACTTTTTTTTTTACATTTTTCAGACAAAGTTAAGCATGGAAAACTGCCACAGTGTTAATTCATGCAGAAGATCTCTTCCATCCACAAAGAAGCATTGATTTATCTTTCATACACTGTGAAGCATTGCATTACATTTTATCCAAAGTTGAGCATTGACATACCTTTAAGACAACAAGTAAGATGGGGAATGGCGCATCATTTCTACGTTCCCAAGATGATGATGATATACTCGGTACAGATTTGGATGGAAGCAGTAAAGGTGTCATTAAAAGGATCCCTATTGAGATGAAACCTAGGGGTAAACTTGGTAACAAGATAACAAATTCTGTTCTCAGGAAACCAAAAGGAGGAAGCCTTAGGTATGTATGTTTCTTATATCATTATACATTCTTTAATACAATTTATAACATTATTTGATAATTGCCTCATCCTTTAAGTAAAGTTAAATGTATACAATACATTTATAATTTCATTTGAATTTGAATAAACTTGTCATTGTGTAAACCTTGACGTCCTCCATCACCAATGGATATGTAGAATTGCCATGTTGTAATTTACTAATTACATTTGTATTCTTTTAGTTACCTTTATTTTCATTCACAGGTCGGCTTTATCCATAGATTTAGAAAATCCTGAAGTTGAGCGTATACGTAGAGAATATGAAATTTATCGTCTTAACACAGAAAATGAAATACAGAATACGTCGAGAGAAAAAACTAAACTAGAAACTGACAATAAACGTTTGCGAGCAGAATTAACCGTATTACAACGTACATGTAACAACATGAGGCAAGAGAGAGATGCTGCTTACGAAGAAAAACTTCAAGCCTTGGCGAGGGCCGCAGCTTTTGAACATGACAGGGACAAAGTTCAGAGAGTATTTAAGGTGAGAGCTTCTGTGGCTACTCAGTTTATCAAGACTAAATTTAAAGTCTGGATCAAATTATATTATGTTTCAGAAAATATCTGAGTGTCAGTCCAGTGTTGGCACATTTATGTGTAAGTTTTAAGCCAAAGACATTGCATGTTGCAAATTTTTGAAGATTTTGCTTTTTTAAGGTTATTTTTAGCTCACCTGTCACAAAGTGACAGGGTGAGCTTTTGTGATCGCTTTTCGTCCGGCGTCCGGCCGTCGTCCGTCCGTAAACTTTTACTTTAAATGACATCTCCTCATAAACCACTAAGCCAATTTCATCCAAACTTCACAGGAATGTTCCTTTGGTGGTCACCTTTAAAAATTGTTCAAAGAATTTAATTCCATGTAGAACTCTGGTTGCCATGGCAACCGAAAGAAAAAACTTTAAATATCTTTTTTTAAAAAACCATAAGAGCTAGAGCTTAGATATTGGGCATGAAACATCTTCTAGTGAGTGTCTACCAATTTTGTTCAAATAAAAGCCCTGGGGTCAAAATTGGCCCCGCCCCGGGGGGTCATTGATTTTCCCTATATGCATATAGTAAAAACTTAAAAAATCTTCTTTTAAAAAACCCAAAGAGCTAGAGCTAAGATATTTAGCATGAAACATGTTCTAATGAGTGTCTACCAAGTTTGTTCAATTAAAAGCCCTGGGGTCAAAATTGGCCCCGCCCCGGGGGGTCATTGATTTCCCTATATGCATATAGTAAAACTTAAAAAATCTTCTTTTAAAAAACCCAAAGAGCTAGAGCTAAGATATTTAGCATCAAACATGTTCTAATGAGTGTCTACCAATTTTGTTCAAATAAAAGCCCTGGGGTCAAAATTGGCCCTGCCCCGGGGGGTCATTGATTTTCCCTATATGCATATAGTAAAAACTTAAAAAATCTTCTTTTAAAGAACTCAAAGAGCTATGGCTAAGATATTGAGCATGAAACATGTTCTAATAGGTGTCTACCAAGTTTGTTCAAATAAAAGCCCTGGGGTCAAAATTGGCCCAGCCCCAGGGGTCATTGATTTTCCCTATATGCATATTATAAAAACTTAAAAAATCTTCTTTTAAAGAACCAAAAGAGTTAGAGCTAAGATATTTAGCATGAAACTTGTTCTAATAGGTGTCTACCATGTTTGTTCAAATAAAAGCCCTGGGGTCAAAATTGGCCCCGCCCCGGGGGTCATTGATTTTCCTTATATGTGTATAGCAAAAACTTAAAAAATCTTCTTTGAAAAAAAACCCAAATAGCTAGAGTTAAGATATTAAGCATCAAACATGTTCTAATGAGTGTCTACCAATTTTGTTCAAATAAAAGCCCTGGGGTCAAAATTGGCCCTGCCCCGGGGGGTCATTGATTTTCCTTATATGTGTATAGCAAAAACTTAAAAAAATCTTCTTTGAAAAAAAACCCAAATAGCTAGAGTTAAAATATTAAGCATGAAAGATCTTTTAGTGAGTGTCTACAAAGTTTGTTCAAATAAAAGACCTGGGGTCAAAATTGGCCCCGCCTCGGGGGTCATTGATTTTCTTTATATGTATAGCAAAAACTTAAAATCTTCTTTGCAAAAACCCAAATAGCTAGAGTTTAGATATTAAGCATGAAACATCTTCTAGTAAGTGTCTACAAAGTTTGTTCAAATAAAAGCCCTGGGGTCAAAACTGGCCCGGCCCCAGGGGTGTCATTGTTTTTAACTATATGTGTATAGTAAAAACTTAAAAAAATCTTCTTTTAAAAAGCCCAATGAGCTAGAGCTTAGATGTTTAGCATGAAACATCTTCTTATGGGTGTCTACCAAGTTTGTGCAAATAAAAGCCCTTGGGTTAAATTGGCCCTGCAACGTTGGGGGGGTTGAGGGGGGCCTATATACAGGTGAGCGACCTCAGGGCCATCATGGCCCTCTTGTTTTAGTTGTTATATATTTAAATATTAATTAATATGTATGCCATGAGGGGCCTCTCTGGCTTAGAAGTTTACATTGCTGACTTCAAACCACTTGCCCTGTCTGCTTTAGGTTCATATCTCATCTGGGAGTTGGCATTTTTATTGTGAGTTAGTTATAAAGCTAGCTTTTGGAAGGTCAGTGGTTCAGCTCAGGTGCATGCATGTAACTTAAATAACGCACAAAGGGGCACCTGAGGTATTCCTCTATCAGTAAAATCCTATCATCTTTACTATATTGGTGTGATTTAAAACCCAACAAAATAATTTATTATTATTTATTAAATACCTTTCAGTGAAATTATATTGTGATAATTTCACAGTGAAAATATAAAATTTAATTTTCACAGTGTCAGATTAGATCTGAGTGCGGATGTAAACAATTATATATCTTAAATAAGTATAAAATATCATCAGACATACACTCCTTAATGTGTAAAATATGCTTCATTACAAAAAGCACATTAATATTCTGCACATATCATTTTTAAAAGTATAACAAAATTTTGTGAAATTTTACAGATTTTTTTTTTCAACAAGAATAATGTGATGTCATGATTTGATTACACTTGACTGAGATCACACACCTTTAAATGGCAAAAATGAGTCAAATGACTTTAAACTCCAAGAAAAGCATGAAATAAATATAAATATATAAAACACTAGCTCTTATATTTTCACTTGTGACTATGCCACTTGTGAAAATATATTACATACGGTGTTCACTTTGTGAAATAAATTTCTATCTTACATGCAAAGATGGGCGTCTGTGGCTTAGAGGTTAAGGACATTGACTTCAAACCACTTGCCTCTCAACACTGTGGGTTCGAATCCCTACAGGAACTTCGAATTATTTCATGTGAGGAAGCTATCCTAAGCTAGCTTACAGAACGTCGGTGGTTCTACTCAGGTGCTCTTCGCGCCTGAAATAATGCACGGAAGGGCACCTGAGGTCTTCCTCCAGAAAATCTGAAATGTCGCTTCACATGTAAATGACCTATACTGTGTCGGTGCGACGTATAACCCAATCAAACAAACAAATTAGATGCAAAACAAGCAAATATCCTCTATGTATAATATGACTAATGTTTATGTAACAGATATTTCGAGAAACAAAAGAGAGCGAGATACAGAATTTACTGCGAGCAAAACGAGAACTAGAGAACAAATTGAGCAAGGTTGCCCACGGTTACTTACCAGAAGATACTGACACCACATCTAGAACCGGCATTGACAGTATGTTTTTATTTCTACAATAAAGATATATGTTAATTTAAGAAATAATGAATTTAAAACCATGATGTTAGGATTATTTGTGTAAAATATTAATAGAAAAAGCCATGTTAAAATTTTACAATATTGCAAAGACTGGAGATACCGGATTTTTATACACCACTGAACATTGGAAATGTTTGATTTAATCCTTATTTCAATTAAAGAAATCCATCATTATACATTATGATTGTTTTTACATGATATTTGACAGTTAATGTATTAAGTTGTTTAAATCATCAGGAAAAAGAATGACCAGTATTCAGGTATTAAAATCTATTAATTATTGCCTACTGGTTCCTTATGAGGCAGAAGGAGAGGGTTATACAATAAACATATTGTCACCTTAGTGCAATAATGGGTTAGCTCACATTGAAGTTTAATAGAAGTTCATCTGTTACTGTATTAAGGTGGTGATATTGATATATGTAATATTTGTCGTACTTCAGGTAACAGTAGTCCGGGTGATTGGTGGACGAACGTTGAGTCCGAGTCATCTATGGGTAGTACCGTACAGTTGCATCAGAGCACGTTGAGAGGACCGGAGTTTGCCAGCAGTATGATGGAGTTTGACGGACCGTTTACTAATGTTAATAAAGGTTTGATCCTCTGTTTGTAAATATTTACTCCCCCTTGTTGTTGAGGGGTTATCTTTAAGGGTTGAGGCATTAGAATTGCAGCCATGTTTATCCCTAAGTGAACGTAACTAAGTTACTACATTGGTAATGTAACTGTTTTTGGTATCTTAACCCTAATAACTGGAGGTTATGGGGTTGGTTCAGTATGGATTATGTTCATTTCTTTAAAAGAATGGGGCATTCATCTTACAATTTAGGTAGTTTTTATATAGTATCATAAACATTTTCCAATTATCAATAGACATCATCCGGAATTCGGCAAAGTGGGTTTTTCTAAGCTAATATTTAGGTACATGTACATACTGACTTTTACTGTTATAGCTTCATGGTGCACTACCCATCACAATAGATTAGACAACCTGTTTCGTTTATTATCGAAGCTGTTACTGTAAAAGTTCGTTTGCACCTACATTATAAGCTTTGAATTACCCAAATATTCTTAGTGCTCGCCAATTTTTTTAAGCCAATCACCGACGAGGATTTTTCAAATTTTCAGGTTACAAATCTTAATAGAACAGATTTTATATAAACTGGACGTTTTATATTATAAAACGCAAGTGGGCGAAGCACTAAGCCGGTTAGAGTGCATATTGGATGTTCTTCGTAAATAAGAAAGCTACAGTCGCTTCGCAAGCTCCGCTCCTTTTTAGCTTTCTTATTTACGAAGAACACCCAATCTGAACTCTAACCTATACTTAATTCCGAAGTAAGTCTACCATTGGTCAGTCACCAATTATGATAGTCAATCTTTTGAAATACATTTTCTAATTCAAAACTAACCTGACGTTGAAAAAATGAACATAATGTCACTTATATAACCATTAAGAAACATGTACTGTTTTTAGTAGTTCAGCATTTATATTAAATAATGTTTATTTATAGAGGATTGGTCATCAGCTCTCGCCACGTTAAACCAGATTGTTCCTATTATACCAGAGCAGTCATTGAGCTGTTCTCTAAGATTGTATATATCAGCACCTAAAGATGCCCAATCTGAGGTGGACATGTTTATGAAGGTAAATATTTCTATCTCTTTTTTGTTTGTTCCCTGATAAGATATTGGAAATAATAATTATGAAATTAGGCAAAGCCTATGAATGGGGAAGTTGTTAAAAAAAAATTCCTTTCATTTTATCCGTTTTAAAAGTGTCATTTGGTATTTCATGCACCCCTTCCATTTTCACTTGGAACACTCGACAATTATTATAATATGTATCCAAAAGAGATTTGTTCCATTATCTGAATACCCTGCCTATTATCATCGAGTTACATTGTAAATGGCAGCGCCCGACTAGAATTGACACTGAAAATTTCATTGATAGGTATAGAATTCTATATATTTTTTAATTGTTGTGCGCCCACGATAGTGGCGGGCATTTAGATTTACCCTTGTCCGTACGTCCGTCTGTCCGCACTACCCAATAGGGATAGAGGGCCATCTTACTGTAAACAGAACAAAAGAGAACAATAGAGTTCATTCCGTAACAATAGGTAAGGGGCCATTGGCCCTCTATTAAACAATAGAAAATAACAAAAGAAATGGCCCTTTATTCCATTTCTGACGGACGGACCGTCCGTTCACTTTTGTGTCGCATGTAACTCAAAAAGTATTTGACCTAGAGTCATGAAACTTTACAGAAATGTTGATCAGCATGTGTAGTTGTGCACCTGGGTATTTTCGTCTGGATATTATTAGTATTTTTAGAGTTATTGCCCTTGACTTAGTAAAATTTTGCAATTTTCAACTTGTGTCGCATGTAACTCAAAATGTATTTGACCTAGAGTCATGAAACTTTACAGGAATATTGATCAGCATGTGTTGTTGTGCACCTGGGTATTTTCGTCTGGATAGTTTTAGTATTTTCAGAGTTATTGCCCTTGACTTAGTAAAATTTTGCAATTTTCAACATGTGTCGCACGTAACGCAAAAAGTATTTGGCCTAGAGTCATGAAACTATACAGGAATGTTGATCAGCATGTGTAGTTGTGCACCTGGGTATTTTGGTCTGAATATTTTTTAGTATTTTCAGAGTTATTGCCCTTGACTTAGTAAAATTTTTGCAATTTTCAACTTGTGTCGCATGTAACTCAAAAAGTATTTGACCTAGAGTCATGAAACTTTACAGGAATGTTGATCAGCATGTGTTGTTATGCAACTGGGTATTTTCGTCTGGATATTTTTAGTATTTTCAGAGTTATTGCCCTTGACTTAGTAAAATTTTGCAATTTTCAACTTTTGTCGCATGTAACTCAAAAAGTGTTTGACCTAGAGTCATGAAACTTTACAGGAATGTTGATCAGCATGTGTAGTTGTGCACCTGGGTATTTTGGTCTGGAAATTTTTAGTATTTTCAGAGTTATTGTCCTTGACTTAGTAAAATTTTGCAATTTTCAACTTGTGTCGCATGTAACTCAAAAAGTATTTGACATAGTCATTAAACCTTATATGCAGGTTGCTCAGCATATTTAGATTTGCACCTGGGGTTTCGCTTGTGGATTTATCCAGTATTTGTAGAGTTATTTCCCTTGACTTAGTAAAAAGATTGACAGAACAGTGGCGCGGCTGGGGCACCCGTGTCCTATGGACACATTTCTAGTTTTCTATTTGATTTTCTTTGAAATATACACGTGTAGTCTATAGCGGGGCAAGCCAAAGCCTGGGCCGGCTTTGCGGGCCTGTTCTTTGACTTTCCCGTATTAGTGAGTGAGATATAAGTTGTATCACATTGTATGGAGTGAGTTTTGGACTAGTTTTAGTCATAGCCTACTGGTGGTCATTGTATTTACCCATGCAACCAGTGCAGACCAAGATCAGCCTGCACAGCTTTCCTGCCTCTTCATTGTCTGCACTGTTCACTATTTGGTCAGTCCATAATTTGAAATTTTCTTTTAAAAAATATGATTGGTTTTGTCCAGATTATAAGCCTGACAACTTCATTTAAGATATTTAGGGTGGTTACAAGGTTTAAAGCTGCAGGCTTTCAGATAATTAATGTTTATGAAAAATCTTAAAATGTATTTAAAAGTAAATTACTGTAAAGTATACCAAGAAAGTAAGCTAAATATTGCAAACCAGTCCATGAAAATTACCAGAAATAGATCAAAGTATGTATAAATAGTCCTTACTGTGTTAGTAATACACTACAAATACTGCAAAATCAGTCATCTAGTATGTTGATTATTACTTGAATCTTTTTACTTTTCTTAAAGTTTTAGCGCAATTTTATCAAGTTAGATTTTCTTTAAATATTTTGACTCATCTGTAGGCATGCAGCTTTAATAGATTAAATATAGAATGTAACATAATGTAATCGACAAGGTATACAAAACCAACACTAATTGTTAAGATGCTTTTATTTCATCAACTATTTAAATCATGTTTTTTAGACTTTTTCTAGATTTTTATTGTTAATTATACAGGAATATAGACCAAGACTTAGCTCACTGTGTAACAAAGAAGGTAGAAGTTTGGTCACTATACATTTACAATATGATGACCAGGACAATAATCTGGTAACTATTCTCTTTATTTTTTATATAGCTGATGATGACTTTGAAGTTAAAGTGATATTATGCTCATTTTTTTCACAGTCAAGTTGAGATATATTAGTTGTATATTTCAAGAGATTGACTATTTTACTGGCCCTATGCACAACAATTGATTATCACAACTGTTTGGGACAAAGTATAAAAAGACTGCAATTCTCTTTTTATATATTGAATATTACCAATATTTTTCATAGGATATATATAGATATTTATGTAGGTCCCTGGGGATGTTGATTAAAATGTTAACGTTTATTATCAAGTTGAAAACAAAATGACAAAATGTAAAGTGATTTTAATTTTATCTGAGCAGTCAGTATTTACTGATGGATTGGCTTAATATCACTATAAAGTGTCTGTCTGTCTGTCTGTCTGTTTGTCCTCTAATCCAGTTACCTCTCTGGCGTGGGTTTGATCCCCGGGAGATGCTTTGGTAGTTTAGCGCGGAGGAAGGTAGTCTAGTACTGGTGTAACTCTCCAGGAACGATGGTTAGGAAACAACCCGCCTATATGACTGAAATACTGTTGGGAAAAGGCATAAAATGAAGCAAACAAACAAACTAACAAACTATCTGTCTGTCCAGGCACTGTGCATTTAAGCCTTACTCAACATAATGTCACTTTAAGGTGTGTGTCCATCAGACACAGCGTGTTTTAGCCTTATAATTAAATATATAGTCTTAAATCAAAATATCAAGTTTTGATGACCTCGACCCTTTTAGAGGATGACCCACTGACTTTCTCATAGCTATTATCAGATGAATAAATTTGGTTACCCAGTTTGGGCCTTTTTTTTTTTTCTTTTTTAAATCAAATTTTTGTTTTCATACTTTTATTAGATTAATGAGATTAATTTGTTTTGTTGTATGTATGTAAAGGAAATGCAGCTAAGATGTAGAAAACACCATGCACAGAAATCTTCTATATTCCTTGCTTTCCTGGGAGATAACTCTAACAGGTACGCCTCTTTCTTAGCTCATTAGTCGCCGGTAGAAACCGGCAACTATATTTGTAACAGTTTAATATTATACCTATGGTAGGAGAAGGCATTAATTTCTGTAAATAAAAGCATAATAATTACTGAACAATTAAAGACTTTAATTGTTTTCAGTAATCTCAAAAATTCAAACATGCAATAACGTTGCTCAATGAAATGAAATATTCAAATATTGACATCGTAAAAAGCAACATTACAATTTTTATAAAATGAATTAACGACGTATCCCCATGGACCAGTCATTGGATTTAGGGATGTTTTTACTTTTTTAAAGTGTCAAGCGTTGCTATTTTATGATGAATAAATCATGCATGATATTTAAAATGACACTTTTAAATTATCTGGTTGTTTGTATCTTTTGAGGCCTATTCTTTTTTTTTATCTTATTTATTATAAACAGTTTCTCCCAGAATCACGTGACTACACGTTGTATGTTATTGTTATAAAATCTATTAATAGTACCAAATGGCTTATAAGATAGACATACAGGTAACTAGCTGATAAAGTGCAAATCAAAGTAATTTTGTATGAAAAATCTCGGTATAACAGTAGGGGCTGGATTCGTATTGGATACAAAGAGAAAACTAATAAACGATCTTTGTGTTGATAGTTTATCTCACTGAAAGGCAATTAAACGTTAACTATATCGTATGTAACGACAGGAATATTGATTTCAGCAGCCAAATAATATATTTTTTTCGATAGTGCATAATAATATTTTTTTTATGCAGACACCACTTTTACAGTAGAATTGCATTGTTTTATGCAATAATTAAGCATATATATTTTCATAGTCACTTTGCAAATATTCGATGATCGGTAATAATTTGTCGGTAATTATCGGATGCTGAAGAAAACCATACGGAATTCAAATGTATGGTACAACGGTATATGTATAAAGTAGAATTATAATCATATCATTTGCTTTACAAGCCTCGATGACAAGGTGTTAGATTTTAAGTTAGTTTCAAATTGAAGACTGTATAGGTTCATTAAATCAGGTACGTTAATATACGTACCTGATTAAATTGATTTTTTATGTTTTCTTTTATAATACTTTTTGTATTTTGCAAAACTTGACCGTTTATCAAAATTATGAAATAAAAAGTGCTAGAAATGAAACACACGATTTATCAACTTATGTTTCATAAAGTTAAAAGATATTATAAAATTCAATTTATGAAAACTACAGGATTTGTCCGAGATTCGAACTTGCGCCTACTACATGTAGGTTACAACTTCGTCATACTTACCACAAGGCCATCGAGCAGTATCAATTGATATGATTATACATGTAATTATACTTACAATAAAATCGTTAACATTAATCATAAAAAGTTATGTAAGCAAACGAAACAGCTCCCGAAAATTATTGAGTCTCGGGTAAATATTGTCAAACAATACTAGCTTATTAAATAATGATAACAGTTTCTTGACAAAATTGCTAAGCAAGTTTGCTTCAAAAATGATGTTTTATTATAACATAGCATAAATTTATTGCATAAAACTCTCAGCAAGAAATATATAATTGTGGCAAGTAAATGAAAACGTGTTTATGAATAAACATTACTCAACTTACTGTTCCTCTTTTCTTTATACTCGAACCATTAAACTGATATTTTCTTTAATTTATGATAATACAATCATATTTCTATCCGGCGACTTGATGCTTTAGCATCAAAATCTCTACTTGTTTTTAAGGTCCCCGAAAGGTGAACATATAGTCGCAGCTTTGACCGTCCGTCTGTCTGTCTGCTTTCACAGGACAGTAATAATTTGGCTAGAGGGACAATAAGTAACTGTTCTTTCTCTTTGATGTCATTCATTCCATAATGCTTTTTATGCTCCCCGAAAAAATTTCGGGGGAGCATATAGTCGCCGCCTTGTCCGTCCGTCCGTCCATCCGTCCGTCCGTCTGTCCGTCCGTCCGTCCGTGCGTCCGTCCGTCCCCTTTTCTTGTCCGGGACATAACTTTGAAACAACAAGAGGTATCAACATGAAACTTTGTAGGTAGATAGATCTCATTGAGTAGGTGTGCAGTGCACAAGAACCGTAACTCTGCCTTGCCTAATTTTTGAATTATTCCCCTTTGTTTATTTTTACACTTTGAACTTTGTCCGGGACATAACTCTAAAAGTATAAGAGGTATCAACATGAAACTTTGTAGGTAGATAGATCTCATTGAGTAGGTGTGCAGTGCACAAGAACCGTAACTCTGCCTTGCCTAATTTTTGAATTACCCCCCTTTGTTTATTTTACACTTTGAAATTTGTCCGGGACATAACTCTAAAAGTATAAGAGGTATCAACATGAAACTTTGTAGGTAGATAGATCTCAGTGAGTAGGTGTGCAGTGCACAAGAACGGTAACTCTGCCTTGTCTTATTTTTGAATTATCCCCCTTTGTTTATTTTACACTTTGATCTTTGTCTGGGACATAACTCTAAAAGTATAAGAGGTATCAACATGAAACTTTGTAGGTAGATAGATCTCATTGAGTAGGTGTGCAGTGCACAAGAACGGTAACTCTGCCTTGCCTACTTTTGGAGTTATTGCCCTTTGTTCATTTTGACACTTTGACTTTGTCTGGGACATTACTCTAAAATTATAAGAGATATCAACATGAAACTTTGTAGATAGATAGGTCTCATTGGGTGGAAGTGCAGTGCACAAGAACCGTAACTCTGCCTTGCCTTATTTTGAAGTAATTGCCCTTTGTTTATTTTTACTTTTTGACTTTGTCCTGGACAATACTTTAAAACTATTAGAGATATCAACATGAAACTTTGTAGGTAGCTAGATATAATTGGATAGAATTGCAATGCTTAAAGAACCTAAACAAAGCCTGGTCTAATTTTGGAGTTATTGCCCTTTGTTCATTTTTACACTTTGACTTTTACCTGGGACATAATTCTGATATCATCAGGAAACTTTATAGATAGATAGATCTCATTGAATAGAAGTGCAGTGCAAAAAAACATAACTCCGCTTTGCCTAATTTTGGAGTTTTTGCCCTTTGTTCATTTTTTTTATACTTTCCTGTGTCCAGAACCTTCTCGGGGAGCATCACCCGGTTCAACCGGTTCTTGTTTATCCTGCTACTGTCTATATCATCAGCTAAATAAAGCCTTTCTGGATAAACTTATCTATCTCCAGTCATTACATCATATGATGATGTCACATATTTAGCAGCAAAACAAAACTGCATATAGATGCTATTTTATCAGGGAAAAAGAAGAATGAAACCATTTAATTATTCTAAAAACATGATAAGTAGCAGGATAAATCAAATACATGGTTGATGTCGGGATAGAGAAGGTTTATCCGGTTTGCTGTGAAAGTGAATTTTGGCTCGCTAAAGCTCGCCAAGATACACTTTCTCGCTCACCAGATAAACCTTCTCCTTCTCGACATCAACCATGTATTTTCTATATAACTCTGTCTTGCCTTATATTGGAGTTATTGCCCTTTGTTCAATTTTACACTTTGAATATTGTCATGGACATTACTCTATAATTATAAGAGATATCAACATCAGACTTTGTAGGTAGATAAATCTCATTGGGTAGATTTGTGCAGTGCAAAAGAACTTAACTCTGCCTTGCTTAATTTTGGAGTTATTGCCCTTTGTTCATAATTACACTTTGTAACTTTGTCTGTGACATAACTCTGACACTACATAAGGTATACTTTCCTGTGTCCAAAACCTATTCAGGGAGCATCACCCGGTTCAACCGGTTCTTGTTACATTAGCCACAGTTTGTAGTCAATATTAAAGTTGTTGTAAAGGTCTTTGTCCAATTATTTGGTTCAGTAGAAACGATCTTCAATTCAGATTCCAACAAATGATGTAGAGAGAAACTAAAGATCATGCAAAATGCCAAAATTTAAAATGTGGCAGTCTCAGTTTGATTGAGCCTGTTCATGGATCTTAGTGTTAATTGCAAGCTACCGTTAAGGTCCCCTAGCACCTGCTTAAGCAGAATTCAACATGAAAACATAAAAATGGAGAAATTTTGAAACTTGAAACGTCTGCAGATGTGTTTATTCAGGCAGCTATCAACATTAAATGTAAAATTTGTGTAACATGTATTAACATTATTATTATTATTATTATTATTATTTTGATATTCAATATAAAGGCTGAGCAACACTCAAAATAGTCTATAATAGTGTCCTATGGAAGTTATTCCAGAGTTACGGTTGAGGTCTTCCCAGTAGAGTGCTAGCTTACGGAATGTGCAGCTTCTGCTAAGCTGATGGCTTGTAACTTGAATATTGTACTAAAAGGGCACCAAATGATGGCATCAACACTGAATTAAAGTTTAATGTTGCCATATGACCATGATAGTGTAAATGTGTTTTTTTTTAAACCCAGCAAAAAAAGTAAACTTTTAAAAAAAAAAAAAAAAAAAACTAGTGTTAAACAGGGGATTTATAATTATAAACAATATAAGTATAATGTACAAAAATGTATTCAATTTTCGTTTACATCCCCAATGGATGTATTATTTGCATTTGTTTAAACATCTAGTTTAAAATCAACATTAATTAATGAATTTTTTTTTTTCAGATTTACAGCTTTAGAATATAAATGTGGACATTTAGATCACCCTGGAAATAAAACAGCCATTTTCTGTTTTAGAGAAATAAAAGGGTAAGTTATATGAAATTTATATAACCTTAAAGATACACTATGCTCAAATTTGATATTGGAAAATATTGATAACTGCAATGCAGTCTCTTTGTAAATATAAAATAATCATGTTTTGACTTTATTTTAAGTAAATATGTTATGTTTCAAATTCTACAAACTATAGGTGGTCACAATATGAATTTATAGTGTCATTGAAAAAAAAACTGGCAGTTTTTTAGCTCGACTTTTCTATGAAAAGGGGAGCTATCCTACTCGCCCCGGCGTCGGCGTTGGCGTCACACCTTGGTTAAGTTTTTCGTACCACCCCACTTTATTTCAGAAGTATTACAAGTATGGCTTTGAAACTTACCATACTTGTTCACCATCATAACCTCCATCTACAGACAAGAGTACATAACTCTGTCAAGGTTTTTGACAGAATTATGGCCCTTTTTTGACTTAGAAAGTGTATTGAGCTTGGTTAAGTTTTTTGTACCACCTCACTTTATTTCAAAACCATTGGAGGTATTGCTTTGAAACTGACCATACTTGTTTACCATCACGACCTTCATCAACAGACAAGAGGACATAACTCTGTCAAGGTTTTTTGACAGAATTATGCCCCTTTTTGACTTAGAAAATACATTGAATATGGGTAAAATCCACTTATTGCCTTAACCCTTTGAGATATTGCTTTGAAACTTTTAATGCTATTTCACATCATTACCCCCATCTGTACGCAAGAGAAGGTAACTCTGTCAAGGATTTGTTTTAAAAATTAAGGCCTTTTATCGACTTAGAATCTTGGTTAAGTTTTTTAGTACCAGTCCACTTTTTGACTGAACTGTTTGAGATATTAATTTGAAAGTTGGAATACTTGTTTACAATCATGATTCCCAAACATGTCCAGGAGAAGGTAATTCTGTCAAAGATTTTATTTGAATTATGGCCCTTAACTGTCAATGTTTTGTATTATAGGCAAGCACTACAAAACTTAAAAAATCTAAAAAAATTCATTCCTATCCACTTGTTCACTTTACCATAAATTATGTCATATAAACATTGCTGTAATATTCAAGGGTATCAAACAACTAGTTCACTTTAAAAATACAGAGATTCTTGTATTGCCTTTTACTGCAAAAACTTTTTTTATTGGCAAGCAATAAAAAAGTCGAGCGCGCTGTCTTACGGACAGCTCTTGTTTAAGAAAGGGCCAGTTCTGCTTGACGTGTTATAGGGAATTTAGCTTCCAATACATAGTTTATTCATTCTTTTATTCAAATTAAACATATTAAGTAATAATTTCATATATATTTAAATAAATTAACAATAAATAAAGGATGAGCATAGTATATCCTTAATGTATAATCTACATAATAACAATAAAGGGCATTTTTACATTTGTATTTGTATATTATAAATGATGTCATATTGGCATGTTATAAAATTACACTTGAATGCTATTCTTTATATAACATGGCTTCATCATACATCTGGGTTTATGTGATACTATTCCAATATATTAGATGCTACGGGCTTGTTTTAGTTTATGATGGTCATAAGCTTAAAATATTTCAAAGCAATGTCATATTTAGAGTACTTGGGATATGTCCTGCCATGATATGTTATGATAAACTATGACGTTTCTTGAACTATAGAATATACCATAATATGTTATTATATTATATAAGTTTGTAGCAGTATAAGTCCAGTAGGATCAGTATTTTACTCAACAGTTTGTTTCTTAAAATCAATTTTCTGACATTTTGACGTAACTTTGTTACTTCAAGTACACTAACTATTTAGTGCAATAAGGATTTGATATGTGTTTTTTTTTAGCTTACCTGTCACAAAGTGACAGGCTGAGCTTTTGTGATCGCTTTTCGTCCGGCGTCCGTCCGGCGTCCGTCGTCCGTCCGTAAACTTTTACTTAAAATGACATCTCCTCAAAAACCACTAAGCCAATTTCATCCAAACTTCACAGGAATGTTCCTTTGGTGGTCACCTTTAAAAATTGTTCAAAGAATTTAATTCCATGCAGAACTCTGGTTGCCATGGCAACCGAAAGAAAAAACTTTAAATATCTTCTTTTAAAAAAACCATAAGAGCTAGAGCTTAGATATTTGGCATGAAACATCTTCTAGTGAGTGTCTACCAAGTTTGTTCAAATAAAAGCCCTGGGGTCAAAATTGGCCCCGCCCCGGGGGTCATTGATTTTCCCAATATGCATATAGTAAAAACTTAAAAAATCTTCTTTTAAAGAACTCAAAGAGCTATGGCTAAGATATTGTAGCCATGAAACATGTTCTAATAGGTGTCTACCAAGTTTGTTCAAATTAAAAGCCCTGGGTCAAATTTGCCCCACCCCAGGGGGTCATTGATTTTCCCTATATGCATATAGTAAAACTTAAAAAATCTTCTTTTAAAGAACCAAAAGAGTTAAAGCTAAGATATTTAGCATGAAACATTTCTAATAAGTGTCTACCAAGTTTGTTCAAATAAAAGCCCTGGCGTCAAAATTGGCCCCGCCCCGGGGATCATTGATTTTCCCTATATGCATATAGTAAAAAACTTAAAAAATCTTCTTTTAAAGAACTCAAAGAGCTATGGCTAAAATATTTAGCATCAAACATGTTCTAATAGGTGTCTACCAAGTTTGTTCAAATAAAAGCCCTGGGGTCAAAATTGGCACCGCCCTGGGGGTCATTGATTTTCCTTATATGTGTATAGCAAAAACTTAAAAAATGTTCTATGAAAAAACCCAAATAGCTAGAGTTAAGATATTAAGCATGAAACATCTTTTAGTGAGTGTCTACAAAGTTTGTTCAAATAAAAGACCTGGGGTCAAAATTGGCCCCGCCCCGGGGGTCATTGATTTTCTTTATATGTGTAATAATCAAAAACTTAAAATCTTCTTTGAAAAAAACCCAAATAGCTAGAGTTTAGATATTAAGCATGAAAATCTTCTAGTAAGTGTCTACAAAGTTTGTTCAAATAAAAGCCCTTGGGTCAAAACTGGTCCGGCCCCAGGGTGTCATTGTTTTTAACTAATATGTGTATAGTAAAAACTTTAAAAAAAAATCTTCTTTCAAAAAGCCCAATGAGCTAGAGCTTAGATGTTTAGCATGAAACATCTTCTTATGGATGTCTACCGAGTTTGTGCAAATAAAAGCCATTGGGTAAAATTGGCCCTGCAACGTTTGGGGTGGGGGTTGGGGGGCCTATATACAGGTGAGCGACCTCAGGGCCATCATGGCCCTCTTGTTACTTTAAAAATGAAAACAATGCAACACAAAGTACAATGATGATTTGATACAAACTTTTTGATTCCCGTAAAATGAGCGTAAATTGAGTGTGGATCTAATTTATTATAGTGGGAATAAAATCATAATGCTATTGATGTTTTTTTTGTTTGTTTTTTTCCCAATGACAAACCAAAATGAAGGTGTATCAAATAACAACAAAATGATAATAGTGTTAAAATGACGCAATCATTATTTATTAATTTTTTAGGTCAAAGTCAAATTCTGAAGCGCGTGAGTTACGGAACCAGGTTAGAGACAGTGGAAGTGCCAAAATTATAGATGGGTATCCAATGGCAACCAAAGGGGCGGAGCTAGCTTACAAGGAACTTGAGAAAATCATTGAAATAGTCAGTTTTGATGCTTTACTATTTTTTGTAAATTTAACAAAAATTAACATTTTTTATTTGAAATGAAAAATTGCTGTATATTTTCCAATAGTACCTAAATTAAATGGTACATGTTCATAAATTTTCAAAAAGTATTTCCAGTCCTGTTGTAGTTCATTTGATGGAAACAGTGCCAAAAAAACATTTAGAAGTCAGAAAAAAAATATTTAGAATTAAGTTAGATGTACTGTATACAAAAAAGAATTAAGTTAGATGTAAACAAAAAAGAAAAATAATAGAAACTTGTCACTTTTTGTCAACTTGCAAGGCTTAACAAAAATCATTTATGTTTTGAATGTCTTAAAAAAGCAAACATTTATTATCACTTTGTGTGAATGTACAGGAATTTGGTTATAAAGTTTCATGTTGTTAGGTCAAATTTCAGCTGAAACATATTATCATTTGTCTTGAAAAGTGTTGCATTGAAATTTGAAGAGTTTACTTTATTTTCTAGTGTTTGGTCTAGATGAAATTCCTTTTTTTTCAAAAGTTTATTTTACAGCTTTTCTTTTGATGTTAGGAGTCAACCTTAGAAAAAAATTTGGGGAATGGGGGTGGGAAAAGGTTGGGGTGTTTTTGATCAAAGTAAATGTTTTCTTAATTTTCTTTGTTGAAGGAATGTATCTTACTTTCCAAAATTAGATATTTTTTCCCTTTATTTTCATGACTTGATTTTAGAGACTTTTCCTCTATTTTCCAGAGTTTGATTAGGAGACTTCCCTTCTATTATCAGGAGCTAAGTTTAGAGTCTATTCTTCTATTTTCTGGAGTTTGGAATAGAGACTTTTCTTCTTTTTTCAGGAGTTAAGATTAGAGACTTTTCTTGTATTTTCCGCAGTTTAGTATAAAGACGTTTCTTCTATTTTCCAGAGTTTGGTATAGAGCCTTTTCTTCTTTTTTCCAGTTTTGTATAAAAACTTTTCTTCTATTTTACAGAGTTGGGTTAAGAGACTTTTCTTCTATTTTCCAGAGTTTGAAATAAAGACTTTTCTTCTATTTTCAAGAGTTTGGTATAAAGACTTTTCTTCTATTTCCAGGAGTTGGGTTTGGAGAGCAAGAAGACAGAAGATGATGAGTTTGAGGTTAGAGAAGGTGATATAACAGATATGAAGGTGGATGGCGTGTTTGATGCTAATTATAACTATGAACAGATGGAGGCATTTAACTATGCTGTCAAGTCAAGCTGCGAACTCAACTTTGAAAAGGTATATCATAGCTTTTATTTTGAAAATGTGAACATTTTTATCTTTGATATTCATTTAAACGTCATGTCCCTGAACTTTATAGTTTGGCATGTAACACTGAAAAGTTAATCCCTACAATCGTTAAATGAATTATGGCCTTGGGTAAAACCTGTGTCCTACTTCTGCATTTAACAATTTTGACCATTCCTGGTTAATTGTTTATTTCAGCACTATGAGATACTGAATTATTTATGGTTTATTGTTTATATCACCACTATGAGAGACTGAATTACTAATGGTTTATTGTCTTTTTCAGGATTATGAGAGACTGAATTACTCATGGTTTATTGTTTATTTCAGCACTATGACATTAAACTACTCATGGTTTATTTCAGCACTATGAGAGATTGAATTACTCATGGTTTATTGTTTATTTCAGCACTATGAAAGATTGAATGCTCATGGTTTATTTTTATTTCAGCACTATTAGATACTGAATTACTCATGGTTTATTGTTTATTTCAGCACTATGAGATACTGAATTACTCATGGTTTATTGTTTATTTCAGCACTATGAGAGATTGAATTACTCATGGTTTATTGTTTATTTCAGCACTATGAGATACTGAATTACTCATGGTTTATTGTTTATTTCAGCACTATGAGAGATTGAATTACTCATGGTTTATTGTTTATTTCAGCACTATGAGAGATTGAATTACTCATGGTTTATTGTTTATTTCAGCACTATGAGATATTGAATTACTCATGGTTTATTGTTTATTTCAGCACTATGAGAGATTGACTTACTCATGGTTTATTGTTTATTTCAGCACTATGAGAGATTGACTTACTTATGGTTTATTGTTTATTTCAGCACTATGAGAGATTGACTTACTCATGGTTTATTGTTTATTTCAGAACTATGTGTTTCTGACTTACTCATGGTTAATTATTTATTTCAGCACAATGAGATACTGAATTACTCATGGTTTATTGTTTATTTTCAGCACTATGAGAGATTAAATGCTCATGTATTATCGGCTGGACCATTACCTCCCTTGCTGATATTAAGTCCATCAGGAGCTGGGAGATCTCTTCTTCTATGTAAATGGTATGTACAATGTTCATTAATCTTTACCTCCCTTTATATTTTAAATGAACTTGTCCATTTTTCAAATCTGGAAAAAACCATAATTTTTAGAGGAAATTTCTAAAAATATGTACTGACTGAATAGCAAACAGTGCAGACCATGCATGTGCTGGCTGATATTGGTCTTTACTGGTGATCACATGGGTAGAATATGCTGCCTACAACAGGCTTAGGGTTAAATAAAGTTCTGTCAGCAGTTTTGTATTAAAACTAAGACTTAAATTGATTTGCTTCTATTGTCAGGTTATTTGTTATTTATATAGGATATTAGAAACAATTTTAGGCTTTTTGTTATTATTTTAGGATATCTGTATTAAAAATCTATGATAGGGTACTTGTTACTATTTTAGGATGCTTGTTATTATTTTAGGTTACCTGTTACTATTTTAGGATACTTGTTTCTATTTTAGGTTACATGTTACTATTTTTGGATACTTGTTTCTAGTTTAGGATACTTGTTTCTTTTTTAGGTTACTTGTTTAGGTTACTTGTTACTATTTTCAGATACTTGTTTCTATTTTAGGATACTTGTCACTATTTTAGGATATTGTTACTATTTTAGGATATTTGTTACTATTTTAAGAAACTCATACTAATTTTAGGCTATTTGTTACTATTTGTTTCTATTTTAGGATACAATTACAAATAGAGAAAGCACCAGGCAGTGTGGTATTACATCATTTTGTAGGGTCAGATAACTCCCTGTCAGCTGATCCTGTTGTAATGATAAGAAGAATTACATCCCAGGTTTGATTGTGAACTAAATATATCAACATAACAAGCATGAAACATGGGAGGGGAGAACAATACTTATAAAATACCAGATCTACAAATTCTATTTATTTAACTACTAAATTTTGGTCTATATATTTGTTTATGACTTCTTTACATTTGATTTTAAATTACAGTGATATTACCCTCTGTGCATAGTACTGTTAGATAAGTTTAAATATATATATTTATATTTTTTTTTGTAAATAAGTGACTGAGATAAAACTTTGACATCTTTATTTATGCAGAAATACCAACTATTGTGTTTGTGATATAAATTTCTTACTATTATCTTAGCTAATGCAACATGTGACCTCACCTCCATCCTTGACCTTTGACCCTACTCGACTTGTAGAAGAGTTCCCAAGATGGCTGGAGAAGATTTCATCAAGAACTAATGGTGGAGTGATATTGGTGTTAGATTCTATAGATAGATTTCATGTAAGTTTGACAAATGCGAGCTTTATTTAGAAAACTTACGAAATGTCAGTGGTTCTACTCTGGTGCCCTTTTGTGCCTGAAATAATGCACGGAGGGGCACCTGAGGTCTTCCTCCACCAGTAAAGCTGAACAATAGCGATATGACCTATACTATGTCAATGTGATGTAAAACCCAATCAAACAAACAAACAATTTAGAAAAAAAAACTGAATCCTGCAAGATATGAAAACTTATCCAGCTTAATGTAAAAAAATTGACTTTTTCTATGACAGAGCTGGAAATTAATTCAGGGATAAGTACCTGCTGTCTTTCTCCACTACGAAAAGGCTTTGCAACTTTGTAACAGTAACTTTATGTAATTACAAATTTATTACCAAAACAAATGAGAAATTATTAAGAAGTAGATAAAGAACATTTTTATTTGTTAGTCAAAAGTTATTGTTGTTCTTTGATGTAAGTATTCATAAGAATAAATATGTGTGTATAAGAAAAGTATAATAAAATTTAATGTAAACACTTATCCTATACCTGTGCGGCTTTTGGCACTCCATAAAAATGGTATTGCATGGTTGTGCATATATTTTGATGTGACGTTATTTGTGATATACAAATGAGCCCCGTCATGACAAAACCAATATAGTGCGTTTGCAACCAGCAAAGATCCAGACCAGCCTGATCAGGATCCATGCTGCTCGCTTACCAACCCTTTTACAAGTAGAGCATATGATAGCAAACAGCATGGATCCTGATCAGACTGTGCGGATGTGCAGGCTGGTCTGGATCCATGTTGGTCGCAAATGCATTATGTTGGTTTTGTCGTGATGCGGCTCAAATGTAGTGTAAAAGCAACTTTAACCAGTTTTTTTATTTTTGGTGTGTGATAAATAGAATATTAAATTCATGTACAAATGTAGGTTAATTACTAAATTTATTGAACTCACTGAATTTAATAATAGTATGTTTGCCAGAGGCTCGCATAATATAATTTTATTCAACTTGTTCAATAAATTCAGTATTGACTTGCACACATTCAATATTGATTTTATAAATGTATTACAGCAAGCTGAGACTCACCTGAAATGGTTGCTAGATCCTTTACCTGTAGATGCCAGAGTTATTGTATCAGCCAGTGAAGAAACCTGCCCTCAGTCCTGGAGGTTTGAATCTTATCTTTATGGGTTTTTATCCTCTAAGTTTTTGTTTGTTTGTGTTGTTTTCTTTTTCTTTGGCGGAACAATATTTGCTTCAGTGTATAAGTTGTTAATTTTGCAGTGTGGATATATTTGTGATTCTTGTGAATCAAAATAATTAGCAAATGTTTCAGCACGCAAAAATTACATCAACTTTAGTAAAGTCTTCGGTGGCCATTCAATCTCATTAAAATCATCTCCTAACTGTCGCTTCACTACCCTACGTAGCAAAGAGTAACGGAGCGAAAACGATGATTTGATTTTAATGAGATTGGTGGCCATTCAACATTTTACCATTACACCGGTGCACCGATCGCTATGTAAATGTATCCCGTTAAAAATAACATCTTGTTAAATACAAACAAACATATGACATGATCAATGTTCATTTAATACTTCACACTATGAAATAATAATGAAAAAGGTTCATGATAAGTTGTTGAAGTGAACTTTATATTATGCTAATTTTTCGTCCTCAAATTAGGCTGAATTAGCTATATATTTAAGAAGGTTGACTTTTAGAATGAGAACTGACCAATAAATGATAGCAACAAATGATTTGTATAAATTATAAAAATTTTCTCAAATATAAAAAAACTGCCTTACATTTTTTTTATAAATTGAAAGTTACCAATAACCTTACGAAAGATATTTGAGCCTTGTCACGACAAAACCAACATAATGGGTTTGCGACCAGCATGGATCCAGACAAGCCTGCGCATCCTTGCATTCAGAGAAGGATCCATGTTGTTCGCTATCAGTTTCTCTAATTGTTATAGAGTTAGTAAGCAAACAGCATGGATCCTGATCAGACTGCGCGGATGTGCAGGCTGGTCTGGATCCATGCTGGTCGTAAACACACTATGTTGGTTTTGTCGTAACGCGGCTCATTTATAGAAATTTCCATGTGTTGTGTAAATTATTCATTATGTGTGTGTAACAAAAAAATGAATAGAAAACAATTGTGACAAAAATTAAAGTATGATTTTTTCCAGTACACTGAACAATTATACTTGGATGAACATAATGCCACTTTAATATAATATACATGTAGGTTTTCTAAGAAATTACTATATTAATAATTAATATTATTATTATTTGTCACAACATGTATTAGTATTATAATAATTATATATGTTTGAAAATCTGCTAGTATAATAATAATTATTGTCGATGGTATAATTATCTATATATTTATTATGATTATTATTATTATAGAATCGGCAAAAGCCGTCCATATGGCAAATACGCCAAAAATAATAGGCAGTGAAAGGGTTAATATGATATAATATTTTTTAAAATAATATTATAATATACTGATATAGGGAGTGAGTACATGTATGTCTTAATATAAAACTGATCATTGATATTGAAGGAGGTTTGTAGGTTACAGGGGAGCTAATTCAGTAAGTTGTAGAAGATCATTCCAAGACTGTCATGTTTGAGGCTTTTTTTGATCTTGTAACTTAATACCAATTGTATAGTTACTGTTGGTTTTCTATTTAAATAGCTTTTTATGCTCCCGAAGGGAGAGCATTATAGTCGCCGCCTTGTCCGTCTGTCCGTCTACTAGCTCTCATGGGACTGTTATAATATGGCTAGAGAGACAATAGGTAACTGTTCTTCCTCTTTGATGTCATTCATTCCGTAATGCATTAATGTGGCTATTTTCTTTTGCATGGCTAAAAAGAACAATAGAGAGAACAATAGAGTAGGCACATTGTTACTGTCCCATTAAAACTTCCGTCTGTCCATCTGTTGTCTTGTCTGGAGCATAACTTGAAAACCGTTGGAGATAATTTGTTTAAACTTCACACAGTGGTAGAGGGCATTGAGGGGGAGTGCAGTGTCAAAGAACTATAACTTTATTTTGCACAGTTTTTGAATTATCTTAGAAAAATCTTGCCCAGGACATAACTCTAAAACTATATGAGATATCAACATGAAACTTTTTTGGTAGATAGATCCCTGACATAGTCATAAAGTTTATTTTACATTACAGATCGTGGCCAACACTTCAAGTTGAACCCCTCAGCAACAAGAATGTGAAGGAATTGTTGAGAGCAGAACTTGTCACCCTCGGTGCCTCGTTGAACAATGAGGATGAGACTAAAGTACTCACACATTGTAGAAACAACCCAACCTGTATACCTCTATATGTCATGGTGCTCTCTAGACATACTGCAGAGTAAGATTGTTGTTTTATAAATGTATATTATCTGACACATATTGCTTAAATGTCTGACTTGTAGCTTTCTAGAAACAACTGATTTTACCCATGTGACATATTACCCATGTGACATTTTACCCATGTGACATTTTACCCTTGTGACACTTTACCCTTTTGACATTTTTCTTGTGCAACATTTTACCCATGTGACATTTTACCTATGTGATATTTTACCCATGTGAGATTTTACCCATGTGACATTCTACCCATGTGATATTTTACCCATGTGATATTTTACGTGTGTGACATTTTACCCATGTGACATTTTACCCGTGTGACATTTTACCCGTTTGACATTTTACCCGTGTGGCATTTTACCTGTGTGACATTTTACCCATGTGACATTTTACTCATGTGACATTTTACCCGTTTGACATTTTACCCATGTGACATTTTACCTGTGTGACATTTTACCCATGTGACATTTTACCCGTGTGACTCTGTACCCATGTGACAGTTTACCGGTGTGACATTTTACCCATGTGACATTTTACCCGTGTGACTCTGTACCCATGTGACAGTTTACCTGTGTGACAGTTTACCGGTGTGACATTTGACCCAGGTGACATTTTACTCGTGTGACACTTTACCCATGTGACAGTTTACCTGTGTGACAGTTTACTGGTGTGACATTTTACCCATATGACATTTTACCCATGTGACATTTTACTTGTGTGACACTTTACCCATGTGACAGTTTACCTGTGTGACATTTTACCCATATGACATTTTACCCAAATGACATTTTACCCATGTGACATTTTACTCGTGTGACACTTTACCCATGTGACAGTTTACCTGTGTGACAGTTTACCGGTGTGACATTTTACCCATATGACATTTTACCCATGTAACATTTTACCCGTGTGACACTTTACCCATGTGACAGTTTACCTGTGTGACAGTTTACCGGTGTGACATTTTACCCATGTGACATTTTACCCATGCAGACCAATATCAGCACATCAATGCCAACTGGTCATGATCTTCACAGCTTGGTATTCAGTCAGTAAATATTCTGAAAATTGTCCCTATAAATGATGACTGTTTTAATCCCTATTGATAAATGAGCAAGTTGATTTGATATGATATGTTAAAAACACTATTATTTTATAACATAACTTTGTATGTTCCTTTATTGTGATATATGTATGATATTGTGAGTGGAAGTGGTGGATGGTTCCCTGACTCCACTTTCCACAATGACGGGGAAAATAAATGAGCAACTATGTTGCTGAAACTTTAAAAGAAGAAGTTGATTTAATACATTAGGTAAAGATTGAGGTTACTTGAAGTGAAATCTGCTTGCTAAGCTCAATAGTTAGTTTCATGAGGGGGAGGCGGAAGGGGAGGTTTGCTGGTTGGATCCTTGGGGGAGGCATCAATTCTTCAAGACAATTGATCTTGGAGTAATCCAGGACTGATGGTTTGGTGAATCAATAGCCATAATATGACCAAAATTATGTGATAAAGTCAGGGGAATCTGAATGAACTGTTGTGATATAAACAGAAAATTCAGCTATACTCTGTATGAAACAAACAGATGCTATACCTGCATTGTGCATGCGTTTATTTGATAATTTATTAGGTTGTAACTACTTGTATATCTTCTGAACATTCATGTCTTTAAAACAGTGTTTTCTTCGCCTGCGGAGAGATACAGTTTTAGATTTATTTACATTACTATTATCTTTATTCTAGTTGTTCAAAGAATGAATCAAAAGTAACGAAGCATCTAGATGCCTTGCTCACATCGTCTGATTGTGTAGGACTGTATATAAAGGTGTTAGAACTGGTCAAAACTGACCTTGAGAGCCAGGAAACACGAGGATTTACCAGAAATGTATGTAGATTTAATGTCTATTTTGTCAATAAGGAATGTAGATTTAATGTCTATATTGTCAGAAATGTACGTAGATTTAATGTCTATATTGTCAGAAATGTATGTAGATTTAATGTCTACTTTGTCAATAATGAATGAAGATTTAATGTCTTGTATTTAGCTTTTATGCTTTATTGTCAGAAATGTATGTAAATTTTTATGTCTTTATTGTGAGTAATGCTTGTGGATTTAATGCCTATACATTGTATTGCCAGAAATGTTATGTAGATTTCATGTTTATATTGCCAGAAATGTAAAAAGACTATGTAAATGTATGTATATAATGTCAGAAATGTACATAGATTTAATGTATATATTGTCAAAAATGTACGTAGATTTCATGTCTATATTGTAGATTTAATGGTTATATTGTCAGATTTGTATGTAGATATAATGTCTATATTTGACGTCACATCAAAATATATGCATGGCCGTGCAATACCATTTTTACTGAGTCTCAAAAGTGGCACAGGTATGTGATAAAATGTAATATCTGGTATCTATTTACAGGTGTTAAGATATCTGTATGTTAGCCGAGGTGGTCTCAGTGAGAATGAGTTATTGGAGTTGGTGCCTGGTTTGACATGGAGTTTCCTGGCACCTTTCTGTTATTTGATGCATGAACATCTTGTGCTGAAGTACCAAGGGGGACTACTCATGTTTGCTCATGAACAGGTAAAGGGCAACATATGAAAATAATTGAATATCATAATGTTATTCCTTTTAAGCATAAAAGAGCCATAATATGTGTCTTTGTGTCTTACAAAATTTAAAGTTTTATGTAAGATCAACCTATCAAATAGTGATTTTGTTGTTTTACAGCATTTATTGACTTACATTTCATCATCATATGATAAAAAGGATCTTTATTCATGTCATGACTTACATTTATTTTATAAGAGAAATGCTGCAGACTTGCCTTATTACACTTTCTTAAACTTGTTTGACATAAATAAAAGTTTTCTTTAATCACAGGTTATAAAAGCTGTACATGATTTCTGTTTTGGTAAAGATGAACAGAAAGTGATCTCACAAATAAGGCAAGATCTCATCCAACATTTCCAGTCACAAATGAGGTATAGTATATATTGTTGCCATATTGTTTAGGCCGTCCAGTTAGCTCAACGGGTTCGATTCCCGGACAGCGCAGGTCTCTTTGTGTGATTGATTATAAAATCTTTACTACGGTCATTCACACTGTACCTATGCTCTGGCATTTACAAAAGTAATCAGTTCCTTATGAAAGTGAAGGCAACTAGTACTGGTAAACTGTTTGGCAGAATGCCCAGGAATGATGTGGTGGATGAACTGTGCTCTGGTAAATTCAATGTGGCTTACTGATCCAGAGTGTAAACTACCAACACCACCACAACCTGAACTTTGCTGTCTCTAAAAAAAAAAAACACACAAATTCAGAAAGTTTTTCTGAATACTTGGAAAATACTCTGTCTTATACATTGTTGCCATACCATATGAACTTTGTTTACTTTCAACCACAAACTCAGACAGTTTTTAGCTTGACTATTCGAAGAATACTAGAGCTAATGGAGTCACCCATTTGTTATCCCCCGCCGTTGGAATCGGGAGGGAGATATAGTTTTGGCGTTGTCCGTCTGACCTTCCGTTCGTCCATCCGTCCGTCCGAATTTCGTTTCCAGGTAGTTCTCTGCAACTACTGGCTGGAATGCAACGAAACTTTATGGGAATCATCAATATCAAGAGGAGATGCGTATATCGTCGGCTTGTTCCGGTCCGACACTTTAAATCAGAGTTATGGCCCTTGATTAGTTATGCAGTATGCATATGGAGTAAAAATTGTTTCCGCGCTACTTTACTGCAACTACTGGCTGGAATTCAACAAACTTTATGGGAACTTTCAATATCAAGAGGGGATGCGCATATCGTCGGCTTGTTCCGGTCCGACACTTTAACTCAGAGTTATGGCCCTTGATTAGTTATGCAGTATGCATATAGAGCAAAAATTGTTTCCGGGCTACTTCTCTGCAACTACTGGTTGGAATTCAACAAAACTTTATGGGAACCTTCAATACCAAGAGAAGATGCGCATATCATTGCCTTGTTGGGGTCAGACATTTTAATTCAGAGTTATGGCCCTTGATTAGTTATGCAGTATGCATATAGAAAAATATTTGTTTCTGCGCTACATCTCTGCAACTACTGGCTGGAATTCAATGAAACTTTATTGGAACCTCCAATACCAAGAGATGAGCATATCATTGCCTTGTTCAGGTCAGACATTTTAACTTTGAGTTATGGCCCTTGATAACTTATGCAGTATACAACAAGAGCAATAATCGTTTCCGTGCTACTTCTCTGTAACTACTGGCTGGAATTCAATGAAACTTTATGGGATACGAAGGGGAGATGTGCATTATAATAGTCGCCTTGTTCCGGTCAGATTTTTATAACTCATATTCATGGCCCTTGATTAGTTATGCAGTATGCATACATCTCATTGGCATTTCCAGATATTACTATTTAACACAGAGTTATGGCTCTGTTATTGCCCTAAATAATTATCAAGTTCAAAGAATATTACTGTTTATGCCATGATAAATATATAAATAAAGCCTTATGTCTTCAGTTGTTGTGTTAGTAATAACCAGTACTCGGCGGGGGAAATAAATTCAACGAATTTGCTTGTTGGCATCTGCATCCCTGTGGTTAAGTTTTTAGCTCGCCTGTCACAAAGTGACAGGGTGAGCTTTTGTGATCTCTTTTCATCCGTCCGTTGTCCGTCCGTCGTTTGTCCGTCCATTGTCCGTCCGTAAACTTTTACTTTAAATGACATCTCCTCATAAACCACTAAGCCAATTTCATCCACTACTTCACATGAATGTTCCTTTGGTGGTCACCTTTAAAAATTGTTCAAAGAATTTAATTCCATGCAGAACGGCAACCGAAAGAAAAAACTTTAAATATCTTCTTTTGAAGAACCCAAAGAGCTAGAGCTAAGATATTTGGCATTAAACATCTTCTACTGAGTGTCTATCAAGTTTGTTCAAATAAAAGCCCTGGGGTCAAAATTGGCCCCGCCCCAGGGGGTCATTGATTTTGACCCTATATATATAGTAAAAACTTAAAAAATCTTCTTTTAAAGAACACAAAGAGCTAGAGCTTAGATATTTAGCATGAAACATGTTCTAATGGGTGTCTACCAAGTTTGTTCAAATAAAAGCCCTGGGGTCAAAATTGGCCCCGCCCGGGGGTCATTGATTTTCTTTATATGTGTATAGCAAAAACTTTAAAAAAATCTTCTTTGAAAAAACCCAAAGAGCTAGAGTTTAGATATTTAGCATGAAACATCTTCTAGTGAGTGTCTACAAAGTTTGTTCAAATAAAAGCCCTGGGGTCAAAATTGGACCCGCCCGGGGATCATTGATTTTCCTTATTTGTGTATAGCAAAAACTTAAAAAATCTTCTTTGAAAAAACCCAAATAGCTAGAGTTTAGATGTTAAGCATGAAACATCTTTTAGTGAGTGTCTACAAAGTTTGTTCAAATAAAAGCCCTGGGGTCAAAACTGGCCCCGCCCCAGGGGTGTCATTGTTTTTACTATATGTGTATAGTAAAAACTTAAAAAATCTTCTTTGAAAAAACCCAATGAGCTAGAGCTTAGATATTTAGCATGAAACATCTTATTGGTGTCTACCAAGTTTGTTCAAATAAAAGCCCTTGGGTTAAAATTGGCCCTAGGGGGGGGGCGGAGGCCTATATACAGGTGAACGACCTCAGGGCCCTCTTGTTTATGTGTATTAAGCTGGTATCTCCATAACTACTAAAGGGAATGGATTGAAACTTCATACACATGTTCTCTGTGATTATCTTACATGATTGGCACAAGTCCCATATCTCTGGTTTGTTTTCTTGCATATTTATGCCCCTGTTTCGACTTTTCGATATTCTTGGTTACATTTTTGCGTGTAAGCTGGTATCTCCATAACTGCTGAAAGGAATGGATTGAAACTTAACAGGCTTCTTCTCTGTGGTCATCTAACGTGATTGGCATCTGTCCCTGTCTGCCAGAAGAATAAGGGAGCAGTTTTTCATTTAAATTGGTGAAAACATGAAATATTTTAGCAGTTTTCTTTTTTTTTTGCAAAATGTTGCTTGCAAAACCTTTAAAAAAAAACCTTACCAGACAGTATGCCCATACTGATAAAAAAGCTTTAAACTTTCTTTGCAGTACATAAAATGTGCAGTATATGTTTTCTGGTCTTTACCTCTAATTACAGTTTAAACTTTATTGATTGTAATCAGTATAAAAAAGTAATTTATATAACATTACAGTGGTACGAAGGCAAGTTGTCGTGTGTCAGAAGAGTTACCATGGTTACTGTGTCAGGAGGGAGAAAAAGAAGATTTGAAATCTTGTATATTAGACATGTTTGTGTTCCAGAAAATCTGTGCAAGGTAATGTATCCAGGTGAAAATAAAATGAGCCGTGTCATGACAAAACCACCAACATAATGGGTTTGCGACCAGCATGGATCCAGACCAGCCTGCGCATCCGCGCAGTCTGATCAGGATCCATGCTGTTTGCTATCAGTTTCTATACTAGTTATAGAGTTTTTAAGCGAACAGCATGGATCCTGATCAGACTGCGCGGATGCGCAGGCTGGTCTGGATCCATGCTGGTCGCAAACCCATTATGTTGGTTTTGTCATGACACGGCTCAAATGATTTTTCACCTTATATAACAGGGGCCAGTAAAAGGCCTCTTCCAAATTGAAATTTTCTTTAAAATCATGCAGTTTTCACAATAATCTGAACTAATACCAGTTTTTTTTATTTCCCAGATTAGTTATTTTAGTGGTAATTTTCTCAAAATCAAGAGTTTTTAAAAGGCATCTTTTAAAATTAAGAGAGAAAAATCACTCCATGTAATTGTATCTTTATCTTCAATGTAAAAATTATATAGATAAAGTTATAAAAACATTATCTATTTCTTAAACAAGAACTCTGTTTCAGAAAATACTTCTCATCCATTTTATATTGTAATTGCTATGCCTGAAAAGCCCATGATAGGAAAATGAAAATTATTCTATACTATTCTACAGAAAATTAAAGGCTTGATTTAAAATAACAAAACAAGAGGGTTTGAATGATAAAATGTTTTATATATTCATGCGTAATTATAATAATAATAAACACTTTATTTCACGAAGGTAACTTATAAAGAAATACATATCTTATTTACAATATGGCCTTCAATTAAACTAGATAAAGAAAATCAGAAATATGTACACACATAAAAATATATAAACAACAAGCATTAATATTGACAGACACATGTTTAAATTGTGCGTCAAGTAAATATGTTTTTCATATCTCTTTTAAAAGCATAATTTATATGAACAAAGATTGTTTAATATAGAAGTATAAATTATTCCATACTTGCATTATTTTTGAAAGTTCCTTTAACGTATTTTGTATTTGGTTTAACATGTGTGTTTTGTAGGGGAAGATTAAGAGAATTATTACACTACTGGAGTTATATGGGTGAAGACAAAGCCAACATGGCAAAAGCGTATCTCTCTGCCACAAAACATATGGAGGACTGTAAGTTTGTTTGTTAACATTTCCCGAGCTTAATTTAATATTTATAATACTGAGCATTTGTAATGTTGATTTTCATTGGATAATTATGATATTTGTATAAACTATATAGTTACACTGCTGCTGTTAATTTATGAAGTAAAGTTGGTTTTTTTTTTATCAAATAAAGGAAGTTTACTGTGCTATAAATTTGTTATATAGATTATTGACAGATTATATGACCATATATTGGCAATATAACCCTCCCCTTACAGCCGGGGTTATATAATATGCAAACAACCATATACTTGTATATATGACCTGGTTAAACTTACTTTTTGTTTAATTACAATGTGGAAGTTGATATTTTTCTCCATTTTTACAGCTGTAAGTCAATATAATGGGCAGGTAACTCTACCAGATATTGCAGACTTGTATGAAACACTAGGAAAATTTCTCAAGGACCTTGGTCAACTCAATCAGGTAAGTTTGCCTTTTTGATGTTAATTTTAGGAAAGCGTTTGTCAACTGTGATCAGCTAAATTAATGTCACTTTATTATGCTCTGTTGCATACATCCTCTACTTTATAACTTATTTCCTCTTCTTGTAATTTGATTACATACAAATTAAACATAGAAACAATTTAAGATTTTAAATTTCTGTCACTGTATTATTTTAATCCTGTTTACAGGCTCTTTCAGCACTACAGAGGGCGTTAGAGGTACGAGAGACGGCCCTAGATCCAGATCATCCAATAGTAGCTCATTCTTTACATCAACTTGCCAACCTACACGCCCACTGGAACAAATACCCCACTGCGGAAGCTCTATTCAAGCAGGCGTTGGAAATATACCAGAACGCTTTCACTAGTGAACATGTTATGGTTGCTAAGGAACTAGACGCTCTTGCTATACTGTACCAGAAACAGGACAAGTATGTGCCATTTTCATTGCATGTTGTATCATCTGTTTATATTCTCTGTCCCTACTCAGGGGTCTGCTGTGCCTGAAATAATGCATAAAGAGGCATTCAAGGTCTTCCTTCCCAACACTAGTAAAGCAGGAAAGTCAGCTATATAACATTTACAGGGGAGATGTGACTTTACATCCAACAACATTTAAACTTTTTTGACTTCTGGAGTGAATGTAGAGTGAAATTTTATGTCTTAAGGATACTGTGTGAAAGTTAAACTGCAGCATTTCATATGTACTGACAGAAATAAATATTTTGTTCTTACATTAGGAAATACCATAGTGTAATAACCAATAGCTTTTCTGTTAGTCCAACAAATTGTGCATAAGGGTTTCTTATTATATAAATGATGGTCACACTTCTAACTGTTCAAGAGGTAAAGACCACCATCTAATATATTTTAAAATTGATCGATCCCGCAGTCAAAATAATAGACTACCTTTCTGTAAGCAAGGCAGGTTGAACAAAACTATAGGGCTTTTAGTTGGAACTTCTTATCTATCATTTATTACTTTTTTAAAGTTGAATAGTTAATTGTATAAATGCATTACTTAATAACAGGAGTGTGTAAAATAAAGTTTAACATTTTGTATGGAAAAAAGCAACACTTAGTAATCTATGAAAGAAATAATAATTTATACATTAAACTTGAACATATATATGTATGGTATAGGCATGACCAGGCAGATCCTCTCAGAAAGAAAGCTATGTCAATAAGAAGAGGTACCAGAACACCTAGATCAGCCACAGTAAGTTTTTATTTGTATGTAAGTTTATATAGTCATTTACCTATGCGTAATTAAGAAAAAAGCCTGTAGCTTGGCACTGTTCGGTTAGCTCAATAGGTAGGGCCCTAGACTGTGAATCTTGCAATCCAGGTTCGATTTCCGGACAGTGCAGGTCATTTTCGTTGTGATTAGTCATACAATCCTTTCTGCAATCATTTGCACTGTACCTCTGCTCTGCTTTGTAAAAAAAATATCAGTTCCTTGCCAAAGTGAACTGCTTGATGGCATGACAGCCTGCCTAGAAACAGTGTGGTGGCTGAACTGTGCTCTGGTAATTTCAATGTGGTTTACTGCAGTGATCTGAAGTGAAAACTACCAACACAACCACCAAGCCAGTATCTAATATGAACCACTATTGAAATGTGCTTTCCTGAAATGAACCAGCGCTATGGTTATATAGGACATAATCATGACCCAAGAAGAGCTTGAACCCATGATCTCACAGTTAAGAGGCAAATACTTCAATCCCCTCCCCTATACGTAGTACAACCTTCTTAATTCTGTAATAGATTCGGTATCGGGTTACAAAAATAAAAGAAGTTAATTTTGATAATTGATTTTAGCTCATTAAGCAACTTTTGACAGGTGATTCAAGAAATTTCAGAAAACAGAATACATAATTGACCAAATGTTTTAAAAAAGCTGCAGAAATAAATACTATTTTAATAGAGAATATAAATAATTTTCTGCAATAATTTTTACATGGTTAACTTGTGTATAATTGTATATTTATTGCTGCTTTACAAGGATAAAATACCAACTATTATTACAGTAAGTATCAATGTACTTTAGATTTATTACATCATAAAAATCATGCCAGTTTTGTTGTTGATTATGAAATATTGAAGAATAAATCTGATAATTTTTTATTATAAATGTGACCGATTCTTGTTGATTGATCACAAAATTTTGCTATACAAATCTAATAAATTAATCAAATGTGTGATAAAATTGTCATATTAATTTAAACTTATATAATTACATGCAATTTGTTTAAGAAATTTTATTGTCAAAATACTGGTTTAAACAACCAATACTGTAAAGTTGAATGATTTCCTTTCTTTCAATTGAAAATCCAGTTATTTTAACAACAAACAGTTTCTTATTAAAACTCCATTACAGAGGCCTTATTATACAATTGAAGTACAGGATGATGACTAAATATACATGTTATTATTTTCTATTGTTTTTTTTTTCTTTCTTTTAAGCCAAGAGCTCAGGGAATGGAACCTTTGCGTAAGCGGACTCTACAGCTGGAGGGTCTGTGTATGGGCTCAGACTCGGCTGACCTGGCCAGAACATTGAATGAAATAGGTGTACTGCATTATTTACAGAATGATTTTGAGTAAGTTTTCCATTGTATGAATGGTAAGAGTGCTATAATTGGCAAAACATTCTTAAAATCTTTAAAATCTTTATAGTTATGTCATTTTCATTTAGTCATCACCATGCTTAATCCGTAAAATGGAATTTCAAACTAGACAAAACCATTCATCATTTTAAGGGGAGATTTCAAAATATGTGCTAACTGAATAGCAAACAGTGCAGACCATGATCAAAAGGCATGGCTGTGCTGGCTGATCTTGGTCTGCACTGGCCACATGGGCGGAATCAGTGGCTGACAGCTGTCAGAGGGTTACTTCTGCAGGGATCATTCTGGTCAGGATTTTTAGTGAGAGATTTTCTCTCATTTGAGAAATTTTAATGAGAGAAATTAGATTTTCTTGAGAGATTTAATTTTCATGATGGGCGAGGTTGAAAATATAGAAATTTCTAACTTTTAAAATCACTGTACATATAAACATTGTTTATCTAATGAGGATATAAGAAGATGTAGCTCTGTTTATTACAGCGATTTTTGTTTTCACTTTTTTAACACATCCTATGCCTTTTCTTTTGTGAATTTTTAAACATAATAAAATTCTAGCTGTGAAAAATAAATATAACACTTTTATTCTGAAATATAAAAGAATTATACATGGATATCTACTACAACTATTATTTGCAGCCAATGTTCCTAATGGACAACACTGTACTGTACAGAAGTGATTGTTGAGATTTGAAGAATATTTTTTATAACCTTACATTTTGTTTTCTTTATGATTCTCTTCACACACCTCCCTCCTTTAAAAAAATATTCATTGAATATGTGACCTGAACACATAATGACAAATATCTCCATATCCACAAATATAAACAATGTATACCTAAAGTCATTTTTATTCATAAACATCATTTTAGTGTTATAAAACACCTTTAAATAACACTCAGCTTCCTTTTAGTATTTTTTTTTAATCACGACATCGCGAAAATATGTGACAAATAAATATTTGTCTGTTTTCTGCTGAAACATTCACAATTCTAGCTGTTGCTGATTGCAATAATATCAAATTTAATATTTTTGTTCAATAAAAGAATATTAATTTTATTATCGGCTACTTCATCAGGAATCGTGAAACAAATTTTTTTAATTTGTTCTTTACGGCAAAATTTACCGTGGTTGATGTATTTAGAAGACAAATTTCACCGGTATTTGTTTTTTACATGTCCATTTTTATGTTAGTCTGTGTCTAACAATTTTTATTAAAATAAATTAAAAGTGTTTTATGTAAATTCTCGACTTACAGAAAGATAAAGGTTAGCCATCATACCGTACGGTGAATTTGCGGTCTCCGATCAGCAATTATTTTAGGCTAAATAATTCAAAGTGTTGGACTACTTTTTGGATTTTTTTTTTACACCGATTTCATTAATAAACAATTTGAAATTAAATTCTTGATGGGAATCGTGAATTTTTCATCATATTTTTGTGTAACTTTAGCATTCTTTTGATTGGGATTAGACATTTTCCGGCTCAAATTGCCATGCGAGATTTTCTCTCATTTCACAAATTTCTCTGAGATTTTGGTGATTTTTTTGCGAGAAATCGCGGAAATCGCCCCCTAGAATGATCCTTGCTTCTGGTCATATATTTGGAAAGTTTCAGAAAAAAGAAAGCACAAAGTCATGAAGTATTTTTATGCAAACAAAATTTAACGTCTCCATGCATCTATTCAACTTCTATGTTTATTAAGGTAAGCAATGGTTCTATGTGTGTATCTTTAGTTTTATTAGAAATTTACAAACATTACTAGTAATCTTTCATGGTTACCTCCTTATTGTGTCATAGTTATGCAAGTGTCATACAAGCAAAATATGTACAATTATAATACTGCCTGTTTGTAATGTTGCTTTTATCTTGACATTTATATGAGCCGCGTCACGACAAAACCAACATAATGCGTTTGCGACCAGCATGGATCCAGACCAGCCTGCGCATCCGCGCAGTCTGATCAGGATCCATGCTTTTTTTCGCTTACCAACCCTATTACAAGTAGCAAAACTGATAGCGAACAGCATGGATCCTGAACAGACTGTGCGGACGCGCAGCTGGTCTGGATCCATGCTGGTTGCAAACGCACTATGTTGGTTTTGTCATGGCGCGGCTCATTATACACAGCTGCTGTCAATTCATGAAGAATCTTACTGTTTTCAGTATGATTATAAATTTGTTATAAATATTCCTGACAGGCTATATGGCCATATATAAATGCTTATTTGCAGTATAAACAACTTTTTAACTAATAAAATAAACTGGCGATAGTTGCAAATAAATTTTATCTTTCAGCAATGCTGAATCATTCTTTAAAAGATCTCTCGAGATGAGAGAGAACGTGTTAGGACCCGACCATCTGGATCTCTCCCAGTCACTTAACAACCTGGCCGCCTTGTATAATGATAGAAAACTTTACTCCAAGGCAGAACCTCTGTACGAAAGAACTTTGAAAATACGCATGAAGAATCTCAACTCTGATCATCCAAGTATAGCATCTGTGATCAAACATTTAGCTCTTCTTTATAGAAAACAGGTATTGTATAGCATCTGTGATCAAACATTTAGCTCTTCTTTATAGAAAACAGGTATGGTATAGCATCTGTGATCAAACATTTAGCTCTTCTTTATGGAAAACAGGTATGGTATAGCATCTGTGATCAAACATTTAGCTCTTCTTTATAGAAAACAGGTATGGTATAGCATCTGTGATCAAACATTTAGCTCTTCTTTATAGAAAACAGGTATGGTATAGCATCTGTGATCAAACATTTAGCTCTTCTTTATAGAAAACAGGTATGGTATAGCATCTGTGATCAAACATTTAGCTCTTCTTTTTAGAAAACAGGTATGGTATAGCATCTGTGATCAAACATTTAGCTCTTCTTTTTAGAAAACAGGTATGGTACAGCATCTGTGATCAAACATTTAGCTCTTCTTTATAAACATGACACTCCTAATATAAATGAAATACTGGTATGTCAAAAAACACAATAGTTAAATCTTAATAGCCCCCACATGGATTTTGTGATGTTAATCAAAATACAATATATATTGTTAAACTTAACTAGGCACCACATGAATTTGTTTTTTAATCATATACAATGTATATACATATAGAGGATATTCAAGTTTCTTCTATAAATACATGATTTATTTTCATCGAGTGGTATGAAAATAAATAGTTCACGGGTGGCAGTAGCCACGAGTTAAATATGATAATTTTCAAACCACAAGAGGAAACTAAATCTTGTATTTATAGAAAAAACTTGAATTTTCTGTTTATTATATACTTGTTTCCTTTTTAACCTTATAAATAAGGAAGAATTCCCTTTTAATTTAGTTCATTAGCTGAATTTAGAAAAAAGTAGTTCGGCAAGACACCAGTGAAAATACGGAAAAATATCAGTGAAAAATAAATTTATACAGTGAAAATACGGAAAATAAAAATACGCATTTTATTTCATCAATATTTCTCAATATCATTTATAAGTATATAATAAATGTATGTATTTGTGATACATCATTTATTTGATATATTTATGTGATATATCATTTATTTGATTTATTTATATGTGATATATCATTAATTTGTGATATATATCATTTATATCTGATATATTTACAGGGTAAATTTGAGAAGGCTGAACCATTATATGTACAAGCTGTTGAGATTAGAGAAAAGTCATTCGGACCTCAACATCCTTCTGTAGCCACAGCTTTAGTTAACCTGGCTGTTCTATACTCACAACAGGTATGTATACAGCTTTAGTTAACCTCGCTGTTTTATACTCACAACAGGTGTGTATTCAGCTTAATTTTAATCTTGATCAATTCTGTCCTGGTAATTTAAACATATTTGTTTTAGTTTGATTGTGATGTAGGTTTAAAGCTTATTTGAACCATTCTGAAGTCTGCACCCCTTGTGGCTGAGGGGTTACCTCTAAGAGTTGAGGCATCATTTATCACTGTGATCCTAAAAAGTTTCAAAGGAGTCTCAATTAATAGCCAGATTGTTACTTTGAATCATGCCACCCTCATGGAATTCTGCGGAATTCAAATCAAATCAGGAATGTTTTTATTATATCACCAGCTAGCGTTCTTTACATAACTTTGGTGATTCAACTCGAAATGTCCAGCTTTATCCATGCCAATGATCTGTGTGGGCATGTTATGTCTTTATCTAGCAGTTAAACTACAGAATTTCACCATCGTCATCTTAAGAGTGTTGATATGACCAAGCCAGAAAATAAAAAAAATGTTTCAGTGTAATGTTATTGTTATTTTTAGAACAAGCATAATGAAGCAGAACCATTATATACTAGAGCATTGAAGATATATGAGGAGAGTCTGGGAGCACACCATCCTAGAGTAGCCGAGACACTACGCAACCTTGCTGTTCTTAAATATGATCAAGTATGTATATTATATATGCCAACTCTTTAGAGATATCTTGAGCATATCTCAAAGAATACTATAAGAAAGGTCATGTCTCTCAGGATGATATGAAACCTATTGGTACAAACAATTTGACCATGCCATAACAAAATACAAAGTTGTGCAGAAGGAGTTAGATTATTTTAGATTCTGTTTGAAATAATTAACATTCTTATTCTTACTGTTTGAAAGTGTTTTGTTTAAAGTCTGTATAGCAATAAACATGTATGTTCTGGTTAATCTGGTATAAACCAGTTAAAACTAACCTGAAATGGTTTTTTTGTTTTTGTTTTTTTTACAACTCTGATCTATAGAATAACAAGATCTATATAATTATAATAATTTATATGATTTATTTGATTTAACCAATGAAATATTGGTGCTATATCAGCCAAATATATTTCCTGTTTGTGAAAAACAAATATATAAAATAAATATGAATGTGGGCAGAGCCAAAACTCATATTTGTTTTTTGGGACAACTTTCTCAGATATTTCTCTTTTGCAATGAGTAGCTTCAGCTATTCATTTCATCGTAGGAAATTATCTGGTTATGTTTTTTTTCAAGACAGTTATGGCTGTGATAAATTGTGTATTGAATTTGAACCATGTCACTCATCTATAATTAATCTATCTATAACTGGTGCTGTTCAATTTCAACTACTAGGTCTATTCATAAACAGCTTTTTTCCTGAAGGTAATATTGAATAAAAATTATTTTTTTCGTGAAATATGGAATTTATTTGCGCTTAACATGATAAAATTCTTTATAATTCTCTCGCTGTTCCGGCTTGTGAAAATGTATGGAATTTTATTATGTTTCGTGAAAATATATTCCATATTTCACTCAAACGAAAAAATATGCTCTTAATATTGATGCCATGATAATCAACTTTCAGACAGTTGAGATGACAATATATTCATTTTATTCATTAACATGTATCTTTTTACTTGACCTTAAGATCTTATTAACATGAATTCACAAGTTAAATATTATTGATGAATTTTTACATTTTAGAGTTTATTATTACTTAATTAAGTGACAGAAATAAAATATTTTATCATTGTTTTACAGAAAGATTTTGAGACTGCAGCTAAACTGTATAAACGTGCAACAGAGATTAAAGAAAATGACGGTTCCTATGCAGGGAAAGAGTTAATATCCCGTCGTAGTTCAAGTGGAGAAACAAATTCAACTGTTAAAAATCTGTTACATCCTTGATAATCATGAGACAGCCATCACTAATGTGAGGCAATGAACATTTTATTAATCAGCGCAAAAAAACTTGTGGGAGATGTTTATTTGACACTGCAAAATCATTATCATTTGAGAGGAACTAATTTTCGTGGTTTATCGTGGATAGGTCAATCAACGAGTTTAAGATACAAAGAAATTTCTTTTTATCTTCTGTAAGATTATTGCATGACATTACATGTATTTACATTTTTACCTTTTGGTAAAATAAACTGTCCATGAATTTAAGAAAACACAAACATGTTATTTGTGACAATATCACGAAATTTCATGCCCACAATCCAACAAATTTTCATTCTGATTGCTGTAAGATTATTTTGCATGACCTTATTTGGAAAAATAAACAGTCCACGAATTTAAGAACACATGAAAATGTTTTTTGTGACAAAACCACGAAATTTCATGCCCACGAAATTTAGTTAATTCACAGTACTCAATATGAAAACTTGGTATCAACACAAATCGTGGTAATCATATATTGCCATATGGCCTGTACTTACGCCTGTCAAAGTTTACCTGTACATTTTTCATATTCTAAAAATATACGCACTGTTAAAACAATATAACATCAAATCGTGATGAATTCCAACTTAACTTTGATAACTTTTGCAAAATTATTATGGAAAGGTTATTGAAAGAAAAAGAGATTTAGTCAGTTTAAATAATTGTTTTTCTGTTAATGTCTAATTTTACACTCTTACTACATGTAGTAGATGTTAGTTGATGACCTACTTAAGTTTGTTGTTGACATAGTATGTGGAAAGTGTCTAAAGAAAGCTTATATAATGTAACCTACTTGATCATGCTATTTTGTAACTTGTTAGGCAGTAAATAAAGCAACAAAACACTTTTACATTTTGAAGAATCATTGATGATAAAAAAAAGTTATTGCTCTTTTTATATGTGAAACATTTCCAGAAGCCAAAATAGGTGAAATGACTTATGTTTACAAGTGATCGAAGTTGTTAACTTTGAAATACTGCATGAATATATTTTTTTATGTCATTGAATAATCCGTCCAGATTTTGGAATATTCTAAGTTTTACATTATCCGTCCAGCTTCTAAATGTTTATTTTATATTTTATATTTTGAATTTAATGTACACAATGTGTATGTGCTGTGTTTTAAATGTTTATGCATAAATGTAAGAATTTTGTTAAGGTAAATGTTAGAATTTTGTTACAGTGAATGCAAGAATATGTTAAATCTATAAACCTTTCTGTTTATGTATAAATGCATGAGTTTTGTTGAAATAGATACAAGAGTTTTGTTTAAAGCTCTAAATCTTTACGTTTAGACATAAATATAAGTTTTGTTTTTTATTTCTTAACCTTTATATTTATGCATAAATTAAAGTTTTCTTGAAATAAATGCAAGAGTTTAGTTTTATCTTTAAACCTTTACGTTAATGCATAAATGCAAGAATTTTGTTAAAGTAAATGCATTTTTTTTTAATCTATAGACCTGTATGTTTATGTATGAATACCAGAGTTTTGTAAAAATAAATACAAAAAGTTTTGTTAAATCTCTTAAACTTTACGTTTAGAAATAAATGCAAGTTTTGTTTCTATCTCTAAACCATTATGTTAAGACATAAATTCAATTTTTGTTTTATCTCAAAACCTTTACATTTAGACATAAATGCAAGTTATTTTTGTTGTTTTTTTATCTTTAAAGCTTTATGTTTAGACATAAATGAAAGTTTGTAAAAGCATTTGTAGCTGAATTAAATCTGCTGAACTTATGTTAAGGATTGGTGCTAATTTGAGATTAGAATTATTCATTGTTTATGTCAAAAATAATTGCAGCCATCATTCATGATCAGGTCAGGTCCGAGATTTAAATCAACTTTGGTTCTGTTTTGGATCACCATACAAACACATCATCTTGTTTTAACTGCTTACCATAGGTTTTTGACAGTTCATCTTCTTCATAACAAAGCCCAATGGAAAAATAAAGATTTGATTGTTGCTGAGAGAGGTGTTGCTTTATAGAAAGTTGAGTTTACTTTGAAGTCTTAATTAATTAAAATTTGGGAGAAATTGAAGCAGTACTTTTAAAGATGGAGGTTATGGAAAGGTTGCATTGTCCTTTTTAGCTCGACTTTTCTATGAAAAGGGGAGCTATCCTACTCGCCCCGGCGTCGGCGTTGGCGTCACACCTTGGTTAAGTTTTTCGTACCACCCCACTTTATTTCAGAAGTATTACAAGTATGGCTTTGAAACTTACCATACTTGTTCACCATCATAACCTCCATCTACAGACAAGAGTACATAACTCTGTCAAGGTTTTTGACAGAATTATGGCCCTTTTTTGACTTAGAAAGTGTATTGAGCTTGGTTAAGTTTTTTGTACCACCTCACTTTATTTCAAAACCATTGGAGGTATTGCTTTGAAACTGACCATACTTGTTTACCATCACGACCTTCATCAACAGACAAGAGGACATAACTCTGTCAAGGTTTTTGACAGAATTATGCCCCTTTTTGACTTAGAAAATACATTGAATATGGGTAAAATCCACTTATTGCCTTAACCCTTTGAGATATTGCTTTGAAACTTTTAATGCTATTTCACATCATTACCCCCATCTGTACGCAAGAGAAGGTAACTCTGTCAAGGATTTGTTTTAAAAATTAAGGCCTTTTATCGACTTAGAATCTTGGTTAAGTTTTTAGTACTAAATATCTTAATGCTCATGGCCATTGTTCACTTTAAAAATACAGAGATTCTTGTATTGCCTTTTACTGCAAAAACTTTTTTTATTGGCAAGCAATAAAAAAGTCGAGCGCGCTGTCTTACGGACAGCTCTTGTTTTTAATATTCTTTTTGTTTTATAATAAATATATAGAGGATAATGAATTTTGTGTAGATTTAATACCAAATTTATTGAATGAGTTGAATAACATTATGTCATGAAGCCTCTGGCAAATTGTGAAAAACTATATTTATGTAACGCAAATGACGTTATGTGCACCGTCGCGTGCACCGGTGCAATACCATTTTTAGGGAGTCATAAACTTGGCACGGGTATGTGATAAAAAAATTTATATGACATGTGTATGTCAGGGTATACAATTCTTTATTTTTGCCAGGTTTAATTGTATAAGTGATATTGCAGACATGTATGAGGTTACTTTTAGGTATTTGTAAGGCTTGAACACATAGGCTTTATATTGTGTTATCTGTGATAAGTTTTAGAATTATACAATTTCATGATCTACACTTGTTTTAGAAATGTTTTTAAAAGCACATTATGCTGCAGAAATGAATAAATCTTTACTTCTTTAGAAAAGGCCAAACATTAGTTTTATTTTGTTTAGATAACAGTTTTAGAGTTTGTTAGATGTTTGTTATCTGTAAAAATAGCACCAAAATGGGAAATTATTTGCCAGAAAAGTAGCAAAATGTAAACAAAGTAAAAAAAAAGAGAATATCTTTTTATGTTTGGGTATATATTCTTATTTTTACAAGTTATATAGACAATGTTATCTGTTTTTTTTAATCTACAACCATATAATAAGTTTAAAAAAAACCTTTATCAAAATTTTACAAAAAAAATTATTTCAGGTTTCATTGTTTTGTAATGATTGACAAATTCATTTTTTTATTTTTTATATTTTTGCTTGTTTGTGTTTTGACAATCATGTTTACAGTTTAGTCTTTCAGTTCTATGTCTTATATATGTGTCACACACGCACATACTTGTATATATAAAGTTTGATGTGATCTATTAATATAAAACAGCTGGGGCAGTTTTAATACTTTGAAGTGACCTACATTTTCTATATTAAACAAGGAGTTATTTTTCAAATTTTCATGCAATTAAAAGCTGCAAATAAATTGTTTTCCAGAATGGTTATAGAAAGATTGGTATTAAAATATCTAGGAAAACATATTATTATTATCATTAAAATATCTTATCAGGAGACTTGTTGTTATTTTTAAGATTCCTTATCAGAAAAGATATTGATGTATTAAAATACTTTGTAAAACATACTACGAAAAAAAAAGAACCAAACAATCACAATTTTAGCTCACCTGAGCACAAAGTGTTCAAAGGTGAGCTTTTGTGGTGACAGTGTGTCTCTTGTTATTCACAACGGCTAATTAATGACATCTTCTACGTGGCATGTAGTATCACAATGTGGTCCTCTACTTAAAAAGTTATATAAATCATGCCCTTGGAATCAAAATTGGTCCTTGCATGGTTGTCACATAATTTAAAACTACATGTAGACTTATTAAGAAAATACATATAAGATTTTTGCTTCTAAACTACAATATCGTAAGCTAGGATTTTGGCATGTATCATTTCTTAGTTAACGACTACTAAAGTTATTTAAAACTTGATCCTTGGTCCTTGAAACGTGGCCTTTTGGTCTAAAATTTACACTGTAGTTTACATAGTTTAGCGCGGAGGAAGATAGTCTAGTACTGGTGTAACTCTCCAGGAACGGTGGTAAGGAAACTACCCGCCTATATGACTGAAATACTGTTGGGGAAAAGACGTAAAATGAAACAAATAAACATAGACTTGTATAGTAAAGATGTCTTTATGAACATCTTGGAAACAACAATGCCCTGAAACTTAGATATTTGGCAGAAAGCATCACCTTATGGTGCTCTTCACAAGTTATATTAATCATGCCTCTTGGTTAAAATTGGTCCTACCCTCTGGATCACTTTAGTTTATATAGACTTGTATAGGAACATACATGTGTCTTTTCTTGGCTTAGATAAATGCCATGTAAGACAATAAATTTCATGGGTAACATGGGGGTCACTTGGTTCATGTTGGCTCATATAGGAAAACACATTTACGTCTTAATATTGAAATGCTTAGGGTATAAATTTCCTTGCATGTAGCATTGCGTTGCGGTCCCTTATGTATTTACAAATGGTTTACACATGCAGTTTGGGTCTAAAACGACCGTCTAAAATTACCTATAATTACGGTCGCACGGACCTGCACTAGCAAATATGTATCTCAGTTGAGTAGTCTAGGGCCACCGTGACTCTCTTGTTATCTTCTTTGCACCAAGGGAGTAATTGCCACTATTTTATATTTTCTGCAACAAGCAAGTATTTTCTAACGATTTTGTAAGAAACATAAAAGTTAGTTTCCTTGAACAATGGAACTATTTACTCTCGATATAAACGGGACGCTCTTTATGCTGCAGATGTAACAGTAGGCTATCAATTAGATTTTTAAAAAATGCAATCGCATCTTCTTGGTCCTTTCCAAACTCGGATAATAACGTTATTATTGATAATAGCCGAGATGTTCCGTGTGTTTGAAACACTTTTCCAGCAAAGTTAAAACCATAAAACCATAATATATCATATTGACGTAATAACTGCTCTTTTCACTTTCCATGTTTTATATTACTTTAATATCATTCGTATGTAAAGAATATGAAAATTGAACGCGCGCTTACGTACTACCATGCGCTGCCTTATTCAGTTAAAAACAATTATTTGCGAAAATTTCACATTTTTTTAGAAACACATTCGGTTGTCACCTATAACCAGCTATGTTTGATCGAGGGGTAATTTATAGAATAACTGACTGAATGGCTGTATGAGAACTACGGGAGGGACTATGTTAGGATATAAATTCAAGACAACTCTTAAACATATATAATCATTTAATAATCATTGATAAAGATACAAAAAGAGAAACACCTACAAGAAAACAAGCATAAAACCCAAGGAAAAAATCTACATGTACAGCATAAAATGATTTCAAGACAAAACGAAATAAATGCAAACAAACTCATCAAGACTAGTAAGTATCACATTTGCATATACGACCTATACTATCAAGGGCAATAAATCCCGCTAGGATATCAACATATCGAGCGCGTGTAGCAAGGGCCATAAATCCCGCTAGGATATCAACATATATCGAGGCCAGGTACAAATCTGTGCTAGCAAGGGCCATAACTCTCGCTAGAATATCAACATATCGAGGCCGGGTACAAATCGTTGCTAGCAAGGGCCATAAATCGTGCTAGGATATCAACATATCGAGGCCGGGTACAAATCTGTGCTAGGAAGGGCCATAACTCTCGCTAGGATATCAACATATCGAGGCTGGGTACATTTCTGTGCTCTCGGCACGTCATTAGTATCCTCAGACCTCCGTCATCCTCTTTAAATCTTATGATTTACATTTCGCCTGTTTTAATCCGACATTTTTTAGTGTAATACCCATAATCATATTTTATGAACAGATACAAACCATCTTGTGGATTATTCATTGTTTGTATATAAAACTGACATACATAGACCGCTATGAATTTTACAGATAAGTACGCCGTACAGATAAAAATAAATCTTTAAGCATTTGAAGTAGAAAAACAAAATCTGGAAAAAAGTGATCTTCCGAAAGTCTATAATGTTAATATTTAAAGTTTAAGAACGCGTGTAAAAAATCATTTTAGTATCAGCTTACTTACTGCACTTCGTGGGTTTTCTTAAACTTATATCATACAAATTTACCGCAGAAAGGGCCCGACAAGCATCGCCCCTTCCAGCCAATATCGTATGCAGCGTCGCCTGATAAAGTTGATATCAAAAGATCAGTTTATCAGATGATATCCAAGAGGTTTCTTATTATTGAAAGTATATTATATACATGTATGCGGTTTAATTTTCAAGCTTCGATGATTGACTTCTGAATACTGGTCAAATTGCAGTTATATATATATGTCATTTTTTTGCTTAATTACAGCATATCTGTAATGTAGTGTAAGAACTTAATTGTATGTGTCCCGTGTATTTCCTGGCAACGTCTACAAACTCTTCAACATCAAACTTCTGTTATGAGATTACTATTCTAATATCTCCTTGTATGAAAGTTTTCTATCAGGTTAAAACAGTTTCGCCAGAACTGCCAACAACAGAGCCGGAAATGCGACAGCGATATGACTGGTTCCACTGCTGCACGTTTTCACAGTGACACTTACGGTAGAGGTACCAGGTGTTGATTGACTGACAGTGTCTGATGCCAGAACGATCAAAGAATATGTACTCTTTGCCGTCATATTGAGGGACTTCTTGTTAGCCACTGCCATCACTCCAGTGTGTGCTTTGATGATAAAGTCAGTATTACTACCTGTTTTTTTGTGTAAAATAATGGAATTTGAAAATAAAAGGACGGGAAAAGCAAACAAACAAAAGTAATAAGGCAATGATTTGAGTCATTTGTAATTACAATTTTGATTGAGTATAAATTTTGAACGATATTTTTTTGCAAATTTGAAATCTTCAATAAAAAGTTTTATTTGAAACCTGTTTCCACACATAATAAAGTCGCAGTAGCAATTAAATTAATTTTGTTTTCTAAAATAGCGTGTGCATGTTTATTACATGTTGATACAGTAATATATGTTAAAAAAGATCTTTAGATTAATATGATATTCACTAAAATAGATCATTGATTTGTCTCGAAGTGAGATATCATAATAAATTGAACATAACATGTTATGCTCTAAATAAGTTACCTTGAAACTTGTACGTGACGTTACTGTTTCCGGGGTCGGTTGCTTTCAATGTGGTCACTAACGTTCCTGAAAATGAAATATTGATAAAATGCTTAGATATGTAATATTTTGTTTCACCTCCATGTAAACAGTATAAGATACCTATCAATATTAGAACAGTTATAAAAAGCTAGAAAGGCCCCATGCCCACAATTATGTTTGCGCGACGTTAAGACCCATTCATGTATAGATCACACTGATTTGCCATTCTAATAAAAACTTTATAATTTGTGTAAACACCTTTAGACGCTATATAATAATACAATAACTAATTTGAAAATTAAAGCTGTTGGAACTGTATTTGAATCTTATTAGCCATCGGTCTGCTTTCGAAAGCGGAGTAAACGCAATCGACCGGTGCAGACTAATATTATCCGAAACAGACCCGCCGATTAAACACGTTTTAGATAGGCGGCTAAACTGAGTGGTTTACGCGTCGGCCTAGTAATCTGAAGACTGAGTTCGAACCTGGCGGCGAAACTGTGTGGTTTGCGCGTCGGCCTAGTAATCAAAAGACTGAGTTCGAACCCAGTCAGAGGCAAGCCGTTGTAAACCTTGAGCAAGAAACTTTACACTAATTGCTTAGTACTGGTTAGTTTCGGGAACGGATTCGAGAGTCATAAAGCTTATAGATTCCAACACAATCGAACTTAAATATTTTTTTACAAACTATTCATTAAGTCAGTACTTCTTTTGAAAATTTCCCTAAATTGATAAAACAACCAAACCGTGATTATTCGAATTGCCGGGGAATGAACATTTACTTCAAATAATTGATGGGTTGGGATATTCAAAAGCGGAATATATAGTGATATACGACAACTGCTCATTTTTGATCTACCTCAAATAATGCTGGGTATTCGAATAAAGGATTGTCAAATAACTGTGTTGCACTGTAAGTCCATTAGTACGATATTTAACAGGGTTTTGGTTAATTGAATAACTTGTACTGGTGTTATATGAGGAGATATCATGTGGGCTCGAGATTTCGGTCGGAAAAAAGCATGACACAATAACCTTATTTCCAAATACTGTATAAGTAGATATATCCACGTGTCGAAAAATTAACAAATCTAAAACAGCAGACATTTCGCGTGAGGAAATATTAGCGAATCGTGCAAGGGCAGAATTATATGACAGCTTGGTTGATATTTACACTAGAGGGGATTTTATTGTCGCGTCGCTAACTTAACCATGCATTTATACAACTTGAACTATACTTTATAGTTTATGAAATCATTTGACTAGGCTAGTATACTTACCCGCACCGGCTCCATCACACATTTGATTTTTGTAAGTTTTTGATGAAAATACAGGCGGTGAGTTTGATAACTCCAGTGTTACATTAACAGTACCATTTGTTGCTGTTGTGTCTGACGCACTGTAATATCAAATCATGGTAAACTTTTATTCTTTTTTAGAAAGAATAAAACAATAATTTTTCAAATCTTAGCAAAATTCAACCTATTTCTAATGCACCCCTTCTTTGCATTTTTTTTTCAAATTTATGAAGAACAGAACAGAACAGAACATATCTTTTATTCTCCCAGGTACAAGAAGATATCATATCGTACAACATGGGGTTATTACGAAATTTACTTTAACATAAAATTATACTGTATCCGGTCAATGAGTGTTACATTGCTACAATCAAATTAAGCTTCATTGTGAGTTAAGTTTCTTTGTGTGACGTTAAGCAACAATTGTATCATAGTTTGGAGACCTTTCTGTTGAAAATGTGTCAGGGTTAAATCGTATACATATACAGGCACAGTGCGTTAACTGGAGTGCGGGTATTAGTTACCCGCACTCCAGAGCATGCCCATTGATTGGCTCATTTTTGCTGGGGTTTACATATTGTGACGGCAGTGAAAGTGAAATCGACAGAAATGTCATATTTAGATGCTCGTTCATTGGTTCATTTTTGCCGGGGTTTCATATTGTAATAACAGGGAACGTGTTTTTATGTTTGACTATGATACAAAAGAGAAAGAACACCAAAACACTCGGTAATCTGATTAATACTCGGGGGGCTACGCCCTCTCGTACAAATCAGATAACCTCGTGTTTCGGTGCTCTTTCTATTACATAACTATTGTTTTCTTCGTCATTAATCAACGCATACGTGTAAATAAGAATCTCCTTTTTACAGAATAAAAACAAGTTGATGCCGAGGGGCAACATGTCGAGCCCGCTGTCACATCTGACCTTGAGATAAGACTTCTGATCTAGTCAAATTACATGCCGTCTGATGTTGAACATTTGTGCCAGATTATTTCAAATTCCATCAGTTTGTGATAAAGTTGTGGTGCGGTCAAGGTTTGTTGCATTGGACTTAAAGTATGACCTTAACCTTTGACCTAGTCACACAATTCATGCATATGACAAGCCATCTCATTATTGTGAACATTTGTGTTCAGTTATATGGAATTCCGCCTACTAATGACAGAGTTACAACCTGGTCAAGCATAATCGAACGGACAGACGCACGGACGCACGTACATACACCGAACTGACAAAAAGGCTTTGTTAAAATACAACGTGTTACATACCCAATTATAACACTACACGTTTATAACATCGCTTTTCATTGGATAATCGTGAATAATAATAATAATAATAATAATGATAATGATAATAAAGATAAATAATAATAATAATAATATAAAGCAGCAGCCTTATATAGACAATATAAGGATCAATAGAATGATAAAATGTGTATTTACCTTATTCTTACAACATACGATGGTCTCTTCTCAAAATCGAGAACACCTTTGGCAAACTTGATGGCACCACTAGTCTTGTTGATAGTAAACATTCCATCTTCTGGTTTGCACAGCATGACATACGTTATAGATGCATTATTTGTGTCGGATATTGCTGTTACATTAATGCCTGTGAGATGTCCCGGTGTTAAACTTTCCGGTATCTCTGGAGCAGCCGTTCCAGCTCCATCCGCCTTTTTAGATATACCTGGAACTGTCCACCCAGTTATAGCTGCCTCTAAAATACAACATCATTTGATCAAAATACATGTACATAGTAGACTAATTAATAATAATGTATGTCAATTCCTATATTTTGTATTTTGGAAAAAGTACTTATGTCATCTCAGCTATCAATTAAAATGAAAGACTTTGCTAAATTGAGAGTAGCCGTTGCCCAGTTATAGTTGGTAATGTCCATCCTCTTATAGCTGCCTCTATTAAAAATCATCATTTTCTAAAAAAATGTAAAGGGGTATTAATTTATGTCGTCTAGTATAAAAGGAAAGTACTTATGTGAACAACTAAATACCGTATTCGGGACAGGGCGCTTGAATGATTAAATGCTAAAATTCGCCTATCCACCTCCCGAAATGCTTTTTAAAACTCTAATTTATCTATTCATAACGATTTATAACGTTAATTACCGTACGATTGATGAAAGAAATTTAAGAATCGGCGAAAAAAAAACAAAAAAACAAAAACAAAAAAACAACAACGATATTTTTCTATACCTACGTCTTGGGGTACTGCTCCAACACTGTAGTGAGTTAAAATCCATTAAAATGAAGAATGAAAATGAATCAAAACAAGTATTTTTATTGTTATCCAATCTTATAGAAATGATTATAGTAAATCAGTCTAAAAAATAGAAAAAAAAAACACAAAAATAAGACATTTATAAATAATAAATAAATCGGATTATTTGAAATTTCTTCAAGATCTTCATGTGAGAAAGGAAAAATAATTCCGTATTCTGCGAGTTTTATTTGCCGCTATTCAGACAGTGTTAATTAATGAAATTGTAACAGAATTATGAATTGTGTAAGCAAATGTCCAGATTGAAAGAAAGAAAAATCTTTGTAAGATATTTAGCATTCTGATGGTTATGTAAAACATTACCTGTATTCCACGCCAAGAAAACTAAACCACACAACACATGGAACATCCTTGGCAATGTATTTCTGTGAAACATAATGCCTGTTTGAAAACTTTAACTCAACAAACCTTAAAGAACGATAGGCGGCATTTAATTTATAGCATATTGTTTTATATGTTGCCATGGGAAAGCCCCGAGACACAAGATGATCAACTAAAATATTTGGGTGTCGACGAATGGAACTCCCGAATAGGCTGGGTTTCAGGCATGAATTGACCAATCGCAATTTTCGTTCTTTCCGGATCATTCGTTATCGATAAGGTGTCCCCGGATGTTAATCGACTTGCATTTGTTATGTAATATTTTACAATTTAAGTTATTAATGTGGACGAACTCACTGCAGATAACAAAGAGACATTGTTGTATCATGTTTTTACTGTGCCTTTTTTGTTAAGTAAAATGTTTAACAAGTTTATTTGAAAGCAATATTCAACAATAATCTGAACATTGGTTTCCCTCAATGGAAAAAAATATAATTGCTTTATGCTTATCTGTCAAACTGTGCATTGTTATACTATAATGTTAGAAATAGAGGATATTGAATGAGTGTAAGTTCAATACTGAATTTATTGCACGAGTTGAATAAAATTATATTATGCGAGCCACTGGCGAGCTTAATATTATTTAATCCAACGAGTCCAATAAATTCAGTAATGAACTTACACGAATTTAATATTCTATTTAAATTATCACATACACAAAATAAAGACCATTTAAAGTGAAATAAGAGTCATTTTTCATATAGTATAACGCTAACATTTAGTGCGTTTTAAACTATGTTTGTATAACGCTAATGACGTCACGTCAAAATATATGCACGGCCGTGCAATACCATATTTACGGAATCGCAAAATTGGCACGGGTGTGTGATAAAAATTAATATCTATTTCTATTCCATCATGCTAATGCGGCGTTGAACTTCATTGCACATTGAGCGTAGAAGTAAATTTCCGGGCGTCATTCGGTTAAATGAAGTCATATCTGACGTCATACGACGTATAAGCTGTCCCTTTTTATGCTGTGCATGTATCGTGTAATAGTGCGCTTGACTGCAATATCTGTTTGAACACAAAGTCGAGGCGGCGGCGGCGCCACCAACACTACCACAACCACCAACTACAACAACAAAGCTGGTTTTTTTCTAATGTAAATGTCAAATACGTTTTTATTATTGTTTGTGACCATATAGCATCTTCTTTTCTGTTTTACCCCATCATTTCATCTTTATTTTCTTTATTCAACATCAACGATATTATTTGTGCACGGAACATTACATTTTGGCAAGTTTCTATTCTGTACTGGTTAACTTACAATACATTTAAAAAAAAAGAAATCAACAACTCGATTGTATCTTGGATTAAAAAGCTTTCGTAGTTGTCAGGTATCTCTAGTAAATATTTGTTTTGCCTCCAAGTTAAATCATGTCATTTTGATTACATTGTATGAATAAATTTGTTCTTGTTGTTTTTTGTTATTGTTTTGTTTTTACACAGGTAAAAATATAAATATACCCATTGTTATAGTGACGGCGTCTCCTGCAAGGTCCAAAACACTTCATGCTAAATTATGGTTCTCATTTCATCTTCGGTAAAATAACAATCGTATATTTTCATGTGTTTTTTATTTTTCGAAATTTAGTTGAATAGAAAAATAGAAAAGATATTAATCAAGTGTGCGTCTGATAAATTCTAATAATGAAACATGTAATGAAGCGCATGTCTATCAAATTTAAATCTGTTGTTTTTACTTAACTAGGTGCGAGCATATAATATCATTTTAATAAGAAAATGTTTGAAAAAAAACAACAACAATAAAACAAAAGATAAATAAATAAAAAAATAAATAGATATAAAGATAAATAAATAAATAAGTAAATAAATAAATAAATAAATAAATAAATAAATAAATAAATAAATAAATAAATAAATAAATAAATAAAATGAATGAATGAATATAAAACTTCTAAATTAAAAGAATGCCTTTCTGTCATCCGGGTTGGTGGTCACGTGACATTTGTTTATGGTAACATAGGATCACCACATGGCTTAAAGGCATTTGCTAATTTGCTAATTTATATCTTTCACTAATGAGTCTTGTTGTTATTATTCAACTGATATTGTTACAGTATGATTAATATGTAGAAAGAATATGAATACACAATACAATACGATACGATGCGATGCAATGCGATTGGATGCGACGCGACACGACACGACATAATACAATACAATACAATACACTTTATTTGCTTTAAACATCATATTAATAACGTATCTAGCATAATACACTGAAAGGTAACATAGTCAACTGCAACAAAGCAAAACAATAAAATGTTATAATCATATTAAGGTTAGCGAAAGGGTATTTGTTTATATAAGCATATAACCATTTAATGAAACATTGTGTGTTTGTATGAGAGACTAATAAACGATCATAGAAAAAAGAAAATTGCCTTAAAAGAATATATATCAGCCTTGATTTTTGTTTAATGTAGTATTCCGAATTTGAATAGTACATGTGGTATGAACTTTGGGCTAACCGTATTAGAAATACAGAGTTACTAATGTATGTGTTATAAATCCTTACATATTGAATTATATTGATTAAATGCCTATGCATTTAGGTGATCATGGTAAAATTTCTATGTTTTATTTAAAGTACTTTAATCCTCAACAACCAAACCCAAATGATTTGCACTAGCAAAAATGCAAATTAAAACAACTAATCCGTCGAAACAGTTTAATCTCTCGATGAGTAGCTGTTTTGTCATTTGTTTCAGGAGCACTCGAGTAGTGGTGTTTTATCTAAACGAGATTGTCATTCATCGAAATGACTGATTCTTCTCTGTCATAGCGATTTGTTCCTGTCATATTTTTTAGCACAGAATGTTTTTATGTAAAAGATTCGCAAGAGTCTGTTCGAGTATATATAAAATGCAACACTTTCCTTGCAAAAAAGAATATATTTTTCTAGAAAGGAGTCTCCTTGGCTCAAGTGTGTAAGTAAAGGGAGGCTTAGAGGATTGCTGGGTTATACAAATATTAACACGCTTACCAAATATGTTTGTTTGTAAGCTGAGAGGGTTGATGGCAGTGCTATGTGAGAAATCAAAGGAACCTCCTACAATCATGTTTCGATGGTCTGAATAAAATGGGGCATTTATTAAAAAGCAATGCAGAAATTATGTAGATAAGTGCTATGTAATAGCGATATCTTCATACACAAGGTAACTTTTCATTTCAGACAATATTAATGTCCCTATAAATCTTTGATCAGAAACGAAAGCGACGCCACCAGTATTATATTTGCGATCGGAAAAGGCACCAAATCAACGATATCTCGAAGTAGCACACCCCCACCCGCCCTTTCAGACATATATGCATTAATATGTATAAGATAGCTGCTATCGTGTCTCTTTATAAAAGGACGTATTGTAATACACAGATTTAATACTGTGTTTATATTTATGTGTCTTGACAGGTCCAAGAACGTCTGGCTTTATTCTTAGGTAACTTCTAAGTGATGATGTTTATAATAACATGCTGAGAGCGCGCGTCCACATAGTTCTGAATTAGTACACACATTGAAATTTGACGTACGCTGCCAACACATAAGGCTACCAATTAGGGATCAGTCAGACATCATTTAAAAAATAAACAACACTTTATGATCAACAATTACGGTCTCTTAGACATAATACAAAAAATACTTCAAGAGTATAGGTTATTAGCGTTTAATATGTTGAGTTAGCACTTCAGAATCAAATTTAATAAGACTATCCAGCTACACAGAATACGGCATCAACTGTCCCATTCCAGAAACGTGGTATTACGGTTATGCGAGGCGCCACATTGTTAAATGTTACTATTCTTTTGACAAAGGCTAAGTGGCTACTAATTTGTGGACTAACATCTTGTTGAATAATCCCATATTTTGGCGAACGTGGGCCGCTATAACAACTCACCTATTTCAGTGAGCGCCATTATCATAAGATAAAATCAATAACTATTAGCTTTACATAAGCGTTAAAGCATGAGACACTAATGGGTGAATGTTATGACATCTAAATGAAGAGAAGTATTGTACGCCAAAAGATCTATAATTACACTCTGTGTAAATCCCTGCAGTATACAATATTCGCTATACAGCCATATGTGGAGGGACACAACGTGCTGGTCCGTCGTACAATGGTAGAGGTTGGACCTGAGTGGGGCCAGTCGGTAAGACTAGTTTGCTACAGAACACTAGGCCATATTGCAGATTTTTGTGTGAATCACAGATATACATTCATATATTATACTCAACGAATGGGTATATTGATTAAGAGAGTGTAATACACCCGGCAGGTAGAGGCCTGGAACGAGTGATAACTTCGGCCCGTTCTCAATAAGTAGAATAATTGTGACCGACGAGGCTTTAGTGCAGAAGGCCATAGATTCATTAGAGCCGATAAACTATCAATCTTGGTTCTCGTCCACTACATCTGTACGGTAATTATACTGATCATTAAAGTTAAGACTTACTTGGAATCTATCTATATGAGTGAAGCAAAATACAACAAAAAAAATTAAAAAAAAACAAGATAACTTCAGGTCGGAAGATCGGTGCTACTTTTCATCCTAAAATGCAATGCAGTTATTCAATGGAGTATGCTTTAACTGGTTTGTGTCGATGTAATCAAATTTATGTAGCAGTAGAATCTATAAGCAACGGATACTGAATTTTTTTCCGAACTAAAATTAGAGTTACGTATTAATTAAATCATGATTTCTAGTATAGAAAAGCTTAAAAAATGGTTGAGTAACTATATACGCTATGAAGCTCTACATAATAAATAACTAAAAGCGATTCGTAGTCTAGCACACCTAACTTCTAATTTATAACAGCTTAACTTAATTTTGATGAACGATAAAAATAATCAAGCGCATTGTGATCGCTGTGCACGTGTAATGTTCTGCGGGCTGACTAACTAGGCGCCACCGGGCCGCAAACTCAGTAAATAGCTCACGTGACAACCCATGCACACTAATCAGTTTGGAAAGTCAATAGTCACGGCATTCTGATTTACATAAAATAACACAAAATTAGTAGTAACAAGTGTATTTAAGAAAAATA